GTCTTGTAGCCATTTTGTCTAGGTTTCGTCGGAGTAGATTATTCGTTGCATTAAGTTGGCTCCAGCTTTCTGCGAGCTCCTCGTACGTCGGAGGCCTTGGCGGGGCGTTACTAGGTTCTGGGTTTGGCATGGGCTCATGTAGCCCCATCGTTATATCTTGTTCGTTTTGCATTCTCAATTCTCTCTCGCTCCGTACGAGAGAAAAGAGTAAGAAGGGTTAAAGTGATCTTTTAGCTTATGTTATGGGCGGAGAGGCCTAGCGAATGAGTATGCTTCTACCTATCGTACAGAAGCTAAAAGATAAGAAAAAGAGAAGATAACTAAGTACAGACTTCTCTTATACCTGCTCGCTTCTGATCACGTGTCCGTACAGAAGGTATATCACGTGGTCGAAGATCACGTGATCCTCTTCAGTAGAGATCACGGGCGCAGCCCTTTACACTAGTTATGTAACTATAGCTTATCAATTATTATCTTTTAACTATATTTTTTTAAAATATTTTTTAAATGTAATATTAGTTTTGAAATAGATTAGCATGACTTATAGAAGCGCGCACTTTGGCTAAAGCTGTGGGCAGAAGCCTTACCCCTGCCCGCTAACTCCGCATTGCGGTGCATAGTCAGCTCTCCTAGACTAAATATCTCGCTAAGATGCAAGACGCCTTACTTTTGGCAACTGCGCGCCTATCTCCAATTAAGGTAGCATACCGTATACGTTTCCCGCCTCCGTGCCTCAAGCAAATCGTAGGGTGCATAGTCAATTCAGCGCCATGTCAGCAAATGGCGTATATAAAAGGGAGGCACTGCCACTGTGTGGATGGACAGACGTGCTCGTTTTTCGTCTCCTTCGGATTATTGACGGTAACTTGTAATACCATCGCCCATCATGGTCAAGCTACAAGTCATCACTTCTGCTCTGAGTCTTGCCTCCTTGGCAGTTGCAGCAGCACTGCCTGCTCCTAATGTCCCCACTTGCAAGAAGCCCGCCAAGCGGCTCGAATGGTAAGAATAAATTCCTAAATAGCATCCAAGAGTTGTACTGATAGTAGTTTTCCACAGGAGACAGATGTCTCACGGCCAAAAACGCAACTACATCAACGCCGTCCTCTGCCTCCAAAAGATCCCCTCAATCTCCGGGTTTCCATATGCTAAAAACCGCTACGACGACTTCCAAGCCATCCACCACGACCAGGGCAACTACATTCACTGGGTCGGTTTCTTCCTCCCCTGGCACCGCTACTTCGTCTGGGCCTACGAGCAAACTCTCCGCAACGAATGCGGCTACAAAGGTGCCCAGCCCTACTGGGACTACACCCTCGACGCCGACCCGCAAGATCTAAACTCCACCCGCATCTACGAAACCGATGTTTTCTCCCCAACTGTCGGCTTCGGTGGTAACGGACCTAGAGTCATCCCAACACCTGAACAAAACCCCCTCGGCGTCAACAACACCGGCGGCGGCTGCGTCCAAGACGGCCCCTTTGTCCCCAAGAACTTCATGCTGAACTTCCCGGGCCCCGAACCCCAGTGTCTCCGTCGCGACTTCAGTCCCAACCTGCTCAACCGCGGCGCAGACCCCAAGGTCGCCGAGAATATCCTCTCCCAAGAAACCTATGTCGCATTCGACCGCGCGCTGCAAGGCGCAAAGAACTTTATCAACCCCAACATCCATGCTGCAGGCCACTTTGGCGTCGGCGGCGTGTTCGGACAAGCGGGTGACGTGAAGAACTCGCCTGGTGAGCCGTTGTTCTTCTTGCACCACGCGTCGATTGATCGGCTGTGGTGGCTCTGGCAGCAAGGCGATCTTGCGACGAGGAATTTCGAGATCGGCGGCAATCTGGTGCCTGAAATTTACGGGAATGATACGGAGGTCACACCGGAGTTTGAAATTCAGTTGGGGGCTGTTGCGGGGACGGTCAAATTAGCCAAGTTGCTGAATGCGAAGGGAGAGCTGTTTTGTTATAGCTATAGTTATTAGGTAGGACTAGTAGCTTAGGTGTAGGGTGTATAAATTAAGTTGATTGTATCGGATTTATGTATCATGGGTTACATCTTTCTGTGTCTGTTGAACTTTACTCGGGCCCTTTGTTTCTTCCGCATACCTGCTTTCGATTGTGAAATCTATTTTTTCTTTCGTTGCCCAATTTTTGCTTGATGTCCAAGCAAAAGAAGTAGAGAGTGGCAAGGAAAGTATAGTTGTAATTCAAATTACCCGTAGGATCTGATTTCATATCCAACAAAACCAAAGGCGCAGCTACATGCTTCTCCGAGGCAGCTGAGATTGATCACCACTCATCATTTCGATATCGTACTCCAGCATCCATGACTCGTGATTTTCAGGCGACCCGGTAGCGGGAAATCTCAGCGTTGCATTTATCCAAAGACCCAGAATGAAAATATGCAACGCGGTTCTAGATCTAGAGATCTATGCCGTATATAGGGTTCTGCGCGGCTCAATCTTTGCCACCAGATCCTATCTCTATTTTTCTGGTTACCGACTGCGGGCTGTATATTGAGGTTGCCATACCCTTGTTCGTTCTGCGCATGATGCAGGGGTTTTTGGGTTTGGGGGCGGAAATCGGGTGCGTGTTCCGTTTTGTAAGGTCATTCGAAAATAGCGGGTAAAGCCGGTGTAGTAACGTGCATCACTACGTAGCGAGACACACTGTGTGGCGAGACAAATGAGGGGTACTTTGACTTTCAGCATCTAGAAAACCCATACGCATGACGAATATTGTTTTAATCTAATAAAAATAATCTACTATAGCTAGTACTAAATGTCTATAATGCAGTCTTTCCTAATAATTACGATCGCATCGTTGCTTCTAAGCTGGATTTATACAGCGCCTTCTTTTATAGCGTAGTAGACCTTCCTCCCTACAGCGCTAACGCTAAGTCTTTATTACTCTAAGTTTTCGTAAGATAGCCTTATCTAAGCCTTAGAACCTCTCTCTATTGCTTAGAAGCCATTATTAGCCTTATGTGCGCTGTCGCGGGCAAATCTATGCATGGCCGTGTTACGATCAGCCTTAGAATGTGGAGGACATTTCGCTGTTACATTTATTTAACGAGTAATTTATGAGACGGCGAATCCGCAGCAAGAAACAGAGACACTCATTTAAGACTAGCGCATCACGTGATCTGCAAGATGCTCAGTGATCAGTATGTCTTGGCACTACTGAGCAACTGAGCATATTGCATGAAGCTCTAGTATATAGCATTAGGCATTGAGCCCTTATGGCTCGATGTGTTCAACTTAAGTTACGAGTACAAGTACAATACTACATTATACTTGCCTAAGTTACTGTCCAGCGCACACTGTCTCTCTATCTGTGAAAACCAACCGACAAGAAGCTCGACACCAGAAGTCTAATATTACTTCCACTCGAGCTATACTCTTAACAGGCCGCTATGTTAATTGGTACTTCCACGGAAGCGAATCCCTAATTCTAGCTAATGTGAGATGGCCCTGCACTTTTTAGCTTATACGTCTATAGGTATCTTGCTATAAGATATGTGGCGGTGCGGATCGCACGTGCGCTTAGAGTATAATTAAATCCGGCTTGGGATTGGGAGCAGTGCCAAGACCTGCATGATAACGGCGCTTGTCAGTTAGCTAACGTTTTTCTAGCATTGAAGCGGCTTTAACACAGCTATCCAGTGCACTTCGAGATGCGGTCCAACGCACGGTAGCCTTGGTAGCTTCCTCGCCCTCAAGCTCTGAAACCGACTGTTATCCCTCCGCTGACTGAACGAAAGGCCTCTAGTCTCGGCTCGTGGAAGGGGAATACAATTATGAGATGAGATAGAGTGGGACGGCCCTGATGGTGATACAGCTGTCGTATGGTCAAACAATGAACGGCTCCCTACATGAGCACTGCAATCTTTATGATTGTAGAGACGTGCTTTAATTTGACATGTGATATGAGAGGTTTGGATCGTTCATGTTCGCGATGTATAACAGAGCTGTAATAGTAGCTATGCTTGGCAAGGCACTACCCTATCTAGGGCTCCATGCTGTTCTGTCACCGGAAACGATGGTTATATCTCTTCCTAACGCCATCAATTCTAGACGTTCATGGCAAGGTTATGGTCGGAGCGGGTCGACCGTCCTCCCTGCTAGCGTGTTCAAGGTGTTCATCTGCTTCCATCGAGACCAAAGTGTACTGTTACCGAAATTGCACCGCCACCGAAAGATCGCCAATCGTTGCCCTCAAAGTGCTGTGGCTGGTTTGCGTGGGTTGGCGTATGCGTGGGGCCACTAACCCCTTCGGAGGGCAAGTGGCAACTAGACTACTAAGAGGATACAACATTGACACCACAGCTACGCTCCTCACATAATTCTGGTTAAGCCGATATCAAATACTACTAGACCTATGGTGCCGTTTTGATTGCAGGGATTGAAGTCGTCACGTAAGCACCGCAGATTGTAGATGGCACACTAACTGTGGCTGCGGCTGTGCTGGCTGATGCCTAAAATCACTTCGTGTCCAGCCTTCGAGGCTGAATCCCCGATATCCACCTTGTTGATCGAGTATCCTTTGGGTCCCCATAACAAACACTTTCTTATATAACCACTCGTGCCTTTGGATACGCTGGGTGTTATCCTTTTGATAGAACTGGTGGCCATCGAGCCTCCGCGCGAAGTCTCTAGGGCCGAACCGACCGCAAACGATTGACATCCAAATCCTCATTCGTCCTCTCAAAGACCTAGTACGGTCCCTCACAATGGCTACGCAGACAGCCACCGCGCCTAGAACCCACAATAGCTATACTGTGGGATGGGTCTGCGCGCTGTCCAAGGAGCAGACTGCGGCGACGGCAATGCTAGACCAAATACATCCGGATATCTCCAAGTCTCCAAACGATTATAATACATACACTCTTGGGTCCATCGGAGAGCACAACATCGTTATAGCCTGCCTTCCAAAAGGCAAGTACGGCACTATTTCGGCGGCGACTGTTGCGACCTGGATGGTTAGCACTTTCCCGTCCATTAAGGTCGGCCTCATGGTTGGCATCGGCGGCGGTATTCCACCCATGGTCAGACTCGGCGACGTCGTGGTCAGCGCACCGGTCGACCAGTATCCTGGCGTGGTCCAGTGGGATATTGGCAAGGCGGAAAAGGATGGCAACTTCAAACGAACCGGTGCGCTAAATAATCCTCCAAACGCACTGCTGACAGCATTGACGAAACTGGAGACTAAGCATGATATTTGTGGATCTAAGATACCTCAATATCTGGATGATTTAGGAAAGAACTGGCCGAACCTAGTGCCAAAGTACACACGGTCTGATTCCCTTCAGGACCCTTTTTTTACACTAGACGGTTCCCAACGCGCTCAGGGCAAATGGCAGGCTATATTCTCACTGCTCTGGGTGAAAATGCTGTTTCTTCTCGGGTACTTCCTAGGCCAGTGGGTGTTGGTTCCTTTGGATAGCGGGGCTGATCAAGCGACAAGTCGCGTTGCGAATGTCAAGATTGATAGAACTCAGAGGAAATCTAGAGACATGCGCGTGCACTACGGTCTAATTGCATCAGGCAACCAAGTGATCAAAGACCATGAGTTTCGGGATAACCTCAATAGGAGCCTGGGTGGGCATGTCTTATGCGTTGAAATGGAGGCGGCAGGACTCATGAATGACTTCCCGTGCATCGTTATCCGAGGCATCTGCGATTATGCCGACTCACAGAAGAACAAAGATTGGCAGGAACATGCTGCTGCTGTGGCTGCGGCATATGCGAAGGAACTTCTAGAACATGTCCAGCCAAGTGACATCGATAGAGAGCGTCCAGTGAAGGATATATTGGACCAGGGTTAGTCATTCTCGATACCTTGTATTGAGGTGATAGCAACATCCTAATGAAACTGTAGTCCTCAGCACTGTCTCCAAAACTGAGGCCGATGTCAGAGTAGTGAAGTCCAAATTAGACCGCAAAGAAGACCTTGAAATCCTCAATTGGCTTACACTACAATCGATTGACTACGGTCCTCAGCATAGCGACTTCCTTAAAAGGCGAGAACCAGGGACTTGTCAATGGCTTCTAGATTCCGTTGAATACCAGGATTGGCTGAAGGGCGACAAGCAGACGTTATTCTGTCCGGGCATCCCCGGAGCAGGCAAGACAATCCTTACGTCTGTTGTTGTCCACGACCTCACTGTACGGTTTTCCAAAGACCAGGGGGTCGGCATTGCGTACATATACTGTAACTTTCAGCGACAAGGCGAACAGAATGTCGACAACTTGCTACTAAATCTGCTAAAACAGCTTGCTGAGAGTCATTCCTCCCTACCAGAGAGCGTGAAGAGTCTCTACAACCACCACAAGACTAAACAAACGCGACCATCACTGGACGAAGCCTCAACAGTACTACAGTCAGTGGCAGCAGTATATTCCAGAATTTTTCTTATAGTCGATGCACTTGACGAATGCCAAGTATCCGATGGGTGCCGCGCGAGATTCCTGTCGGAGCTTTCCAACTTTCAGAGTCGGTATAGAGCAAATATATTCGCAACTTCGAGATTCATTCCAGATATTATTAATCATTTCAAACCCAGTATACCACTGGAAGTTAGGGCAAGCCAGAAGGATGTGGCGAGATACCTAGAAGGTCACATAGGGCAGTTACCATCTTTCGTCCGTCAGAACCGAGAACTACAAGAAGAAATCATAAAGGGGATCTCAGAAGCTGTTGATGGAATGTACGTTCTTAACTTCTGCAGTAAGAAACGTAGTATAGCACTGACTACCCGCAGGTTTCTTTTGGCACAGATCTATCTCGGTTCACTTGACGATAAGCTGACACTAAACGATATCCGTAGTGCTTTGGAAGTCTTCCGGAAGCAAGGTCAAGGGCTAGATGAAGACCAGAAGGTCCGAGTACTAGGTCAAGCATACGAGCAAGCTATAGAGAGAATCAAAGGACAGAAGCTAGGCTTGAAGAACCTTGCGATGAAGGTCTTGTCATGGATCACATGCGCAAAGAGACCGCTCACTACGTTGGAACTTCAACATGCCCTTGCAACAAAGGGGGGAAAGTCTGAACTTGACCAAGGGGACCTACCACACATCGAAGACATGGTATCGGTATGTTCAGGCTTAGTTACGGTCGATGAAGAAAGTAACATTATCCGGCTAGTTCACTATACAACACAGGAATACTTTAAGGAAACGCAGCGAGATTGGTTTCTGAATATGGAGGCTGAAATTGCAAAAATCTGCGTTACGTACCTTTCATTCAGCGCTTTTGATAGTGGGTTCTGTCTAACGGACGACGAGTTTGAGGAGCGGCTGCAGTCAAATAAGCTTTACAACTACGCCGCACAAAACTGGGGATATCACGCTAGCAAGGCTTTGACTTTATGCGTAGAAGTCGTACACTTCCTAAATTATAAGGCGAAGGTAGAGGGGTCGAGCCAGGCGCTACTAGCTATCAAGCGTTACTCATCGCATTCGGGGTATAGCCAAGAATTTCCGAAGCAAATAACAGGGCTTCACTTGGCGGCATACTTCGGAGTTGAGGAAGCGGCCAAGGCTGTCCTCCAGGAAAGAGTTGAAGCCGATGGGAAGAACAATTATGGCCGGACACCGCTGTCGTGGGCTGCAGAAAATGGGCACGAGGCGGTCGTTGAGCTGCTGCTTAAGAAGGGTGCTGAGCTAGACTCTATAGACACCACCTACGGCCAGACACCGCTGTCGTTGGCTGCAAGAAATGGGCACGAGGCGGTTATTAAGCTGCTGCTTAAGAAGGGTGCTGAGCTAGACTCTATAGACACCACCTACGGCCGGACACCGCTGTCGTTGGCTGCAAGAAATGGGCACGAGGCGGTCGTTGAGCTGCTGCTTAAGAAGGGTGCTGAGCTAGACTCTATAGACACCACCTACGGCCAGACACCGCTGTCGTTGGCTGCAAGAAATGGGCACGAGGCGGTCGTTGAGCTGCTGCTCAAGAAGGGTGCTGAGCTAGACTCCAAAGACCGCATTGGCTGGACACCGCTGTCGTTGGCTGCAAGAAATGGGCACGAGGCGGTTATTAAGCTGCTGCTCGAGAAGGGTGCGACTATGAAAGGAACATTCATGTGAAAACAATCTACTATTCGACATTTTCTATTATCTCTATTTCATAGAGGGGGCCGGGATTAACGTGAATATATACCTTGGTAATTTGCCACAGCGAAGCTTCAAGCGTACTCTAGACCAGGTGACAAGATGTCTACGTGCAGAATTACGTGTTAAATATTTGCGACTTAGGTCTGGTCAGAGGCAGACGAACGCCTCGATCACGTTAGCAGGGAGGACGGTCGACCCGCTCTGATCATAACCTTGTCATAATCGTCTAGAATGGATGGCACTGCGAGGAGACATAAAGATCATTTCCGGTAATAGAGGACATCATGCAGCCTTAGATAGCGTAGTAGCTTGCTAAGCATAGCCACCATCACAGCTCTGCCAGCACTTATCTCTCACGAACATGAACAATCGAAGACTCCGCACCTCTTCACAGCCCTAACGATTGCAGTGCTCATGCAAGAACCTTTCCACCTTCATATATGCTTGCAACGACGGCGTTTTGCCAATAGCGCTCGGTTGAACCCACTTGCCAAAGTGCAAGCTTCGATTTCCAGGCCCGCCGCGCTCCATCTTAGCTTGTATCCTTCCCGTCACATCGTATTTCCCTTTAACGAGCCGGCTAGAGCTCGGCTGCTGCTTAGTCTAAGAATCGGCGCTGGTGGACTCGAGAAGCATGAGGACGCGGTGGGGCTTGATTAGGTCTTTCGTTCGGTCAGCGGAGAGAACAACAGCGGGTTCTGGAGCTCAAGGGCGTCGTAATGGTATGTGTCTACGTTATAAAGTGGGTATCGCTGTGCTTTAGACCGCATCTCGAAATGTACAACAAGATAGCAAGTTTTAACACTGGAAATGCGTTAGCTAGACTAACAAGCGCCGTGGCCCTAAGGGTCCTTAGCACCGCTCCTAATCTTGAGTTAAATTAGTAATGTTCCGAGCCCTTGTACCTGCCGCATAGCCATATATCTTACAATAAAGTACCTACCGGCACATAGGGTAAGACGTGCGGGGCCATCTCGCATTAGCCCGGATTAGTGGTTCGCTCCCGCTGGAAGTACTAATCGACGGGGTGGCGCTGCATGAAATTGTGCTCTGCGGCGCATATAGGGCTAATAATAACTTCTTAGTATTAGAGGGAGGTTTTACGGCTAGGATAAGGCTATTCTACAAGAAATTAGAGCGAAAAAGGCTTAGGGTTGGCGCTAGGAGGAGGAAAGCCTATTATGCTACGATAAAAAGCGCTGTATAAATTAGGCGCGGAGGCGATGATACGAACGTAATTTTTAGGCAAATTAGATCATAGATATTTAGAATTAGCTAGTTATGGCAGATTATTTTCGTAGAATTATAACAATATTCGTTGTGCGCATGAGCTTTCTGGTTGCTGAAAGTCAAAGTACCCCTCATTTGTCTCGCCACACAGTGTGTCTCGTTACGTAGTGAGGGGCGTTGATGTTGATTCATTGGTAGGTTTTACAGGACCAGTGTTGTGGCACGGTGAGCATCGGCGCACCCTACCATCCTACTAATTGCATCGACAAATAACCCCTCCAGAATGACCATGATCAATCTTTCTTGTCTCCTTGCTCACTGTGGCATCTTCAGAAAGTACACACACTCCTTATGCGAACAACTGCCACAAAAAGTATGTAAAAACAGTCAAGCGGTACAAGCGATAGGATAAGCGCATGCACACATACCTTTCAAGTGATGTAGATATATGACAACGAAACAGTCGAGAATATAATCATACTATCTTCTTCATCCATTTTTACAAGACTCATAATTCCATATATTCTTACACTCATCCTCTCCCCTTCTCACCCCTTCAACGCCTCAATATCCACAACCTCCTTAACCGCCTCGGTAGTAAGTACATACGGCCCCTCCTCATCCACACAAACACTATCTTCAATCCGCATCCCAATTCCCCGCGCCCAACTAGGCCAGCGCTCATCATCCGGAACGTAAATCCCCGGCTCAACAGTAACGCACATGCCCGTTTCCAACTTTCTATCTCTACTGAGCCCAGGACTATCATGTACGTCTAGACCGACGTAGTGGCCGACGTGGTGGGGGAAGAGTGTTTGGATGCTATTTGGTTTCATATCGAAGCCAAGGTCTTTGAGGCCGGCGGCGAGGGCGTTAGTGGCTGTGTGGTGGAGTTGATCGAGGGTGAAGTTTGATGAGGAGCGGCAGAGCGAAACACATGTTCTTTGGACGGCGAGGAGTAGATTGTATAGATCTTTTTGGGCGGGACTGAATTTTCCAGATACAGGCCAGGTACGTGTGATGTCGGTTACATAGCCGCCGTATTGCGCGCCGGCGTCTACGAGAACGAGGTCGTTGGGTTTTAGCAGCATGTCATTGGATACGTAGTGTATTGTGTTTGCGTTGATGCCGCCGGCTACAACGGGAACGTAGGCTGGGCCGTCGCAATTGTCTTGTTTGAACCAGTAGTCGAGGAAGGAGTCGAGATCTTTTTCTGCGGTGAAGGATTGCCGCATTGCGTCAGTGATGGCGCGGCCAGAGTGTTGACCTGCGTGACGCATATTCTCGATTTCAGCCTCGCTCTTTATGACCCTAAGCTCATTCATAAGAGGACGAAGGGGTTTGATATTTGCTGGACAACCACGAAGAGCACTGTATATACCACCAGTCCGCGAGGGTTCTGCACCAGCAAGATAGCGTGAAAGAAAGTTCTTCGAAACCCGGGATTGTGGGAGATCGGTGTATACGGTCTGCACGCGGTTCACGATTTCTGGGAGAAGACGAGGCAGATCATAGACGCTACCACTAACATCAGCGTTAAAGACGTCTTCTGCAGCATCAACACCTGACCGCGGGCCTTCCCACGCCTCCGCACTGGGATCCTTGGGCCTGACATATAGATGAAATGTATGCTCTGCATCCTCATGTTTCTCTATAATAGCCACCGCATCCTGCTCTCTGAACCCTGTCAGATACAAAAAGTCTGGATCCTGGTGGAACTTGTAAAAGACGGCGCCCGAAGCAAACTTGAGTTCGTTGGCGGCTAGGATCGCAACGGAATTGGGCGCAAGGTCTTTGGCAAGGGTGACGCGACGCTGGTAGTACTCTAATGCGGAGATGCCTGGAGTCACTGCAGAATATGTTAGTACCGGCACAATGGATCAAAGGGTGGTCATCACCTTCCCCAGCCTTGAGTAGGTGTGGATGTGTCTCGTGCAGCGGCTGTCCGAATCGAAGCTGGGCAGCGGGCACTGCGTTTACGGCAGTGTACGACCTCGTACTAGCAACGGGCTGGGCATTGCGTAACCCCACAAAAAGTCTCGTGTCGCATCGGCAGCGCAGGCGCGTGGTGGGCCGCAATAATCTGGCGACCAGAGTCATTGTGATATTCATGCAAAAGTCGGAGGCTCGGTGGTTCCTACTGTTTGCCGGCGAATCAAAGTCTCGGGCGGCAGTGTCCCGAGCCCCGGTTGAACGTCGAGCGGGCTGGAGCAGATCGGGATGGCCGCTAGCGGGTGTATTCAGTGGGGCACAAAGCTTGGCTCGGTCTGACGTACTGCCCTGCATGCCACTTTTCCGCCTTCCCCGCAAACACGTCTGCCTTGCACGACTACGCCGCCTATATGATACGCCTACAAACCCCACGCCATCTGCGTGCATACACAGAAGCTCCTTGGAAGCCTCCATAACCACCGCCATCGTGTTATTTCCCCACATCATCCGAAGAATGGCCTTTTCGGCCGCCAGACCGAGCTTAGTCCCGCAGGAGGAGCTCGAGAGCTTTCAACAGCACTTGGCCAAGTCGACACGCATCCTCGCACTGCTTGGTGCGGGATTATCAGCTTCATCTGGACTACCGACATTCAGAGGTGCAGGTGGGCTGTGGAGGACACATGATGCAACGTCGTTGGCCACACCAGAGGCATTTGAGCGGGACCCAGCACTGGTATGGCAGTTCTACAGCTACCGGCGGCATATGGCGCTCAAAGCAAAACCCAATGCCGCTCACTATGCGCTTGCCGAGCTGGCGCGCAAAAAGGACGAGTTCATCACGCTGAGCCAGAATGTCGACGGTGCGTGACGTCCTTACATCCCCTCATATCTTCATAGCTCACAGTAATTCCAACAGGCCTCTCCCCTCGTGCTCAACACCCACCTGAGAAACTCAAGCTCCTCCACGGCTCACTCTTCGACGTCAAATGCTCCGACTTCTTCTGCAAGCACTTTGAGCGTAACAACTTCACCGACCCTATTGTGCCCGCTCTCGCCATCCCCAGCGACGAGTCCGATCCCACAACCGACTCAGCCCTCGCCGCCCGCGAACTCGACATCTCGGACATCAACATAGATCTCCCTGAGCTCGACTACTCGCATCTCCCCCGCTGCCCCGAGTGCAAGCGCGGCTTGCTGCGTCCCGGCGTTGTCTGGTTCGGCGAGGCATTACCAAGATCCGTCATCGATGATGTGGACGCGTTTGTATCAGATAAGCGAGGTATAGATCTCATAATGGTGATTGGTACATCTGCCAGGGTCTACCCTGCCGCAGGTTACGTCGATCTTGCGCGAACAAAGGGCGCAAGAGTTGCCATCATCAACATGGATCTAAACGATGTGCCCGCTAGCGGCCTGCACGAAGGCGATTGGTTCTTCCAGGGCGATGCAGCGCAGATTGTGCCGGATTTGCTGAGGAGCGTAATTGGAGATATTGATCCGGAAAAAATGGGCGATGCGGCCCGAGAAACTTGAATAGGAGGGGATATCCAGCTCAACATGATGCATGAGGTATACCGGTTTTTAGGAGTTTTGGTGGCAAGGCGGTATTTTGTTGTATTTCTCTGGCAAGAGATGCACATGTGTACTTGCGAGGGGTTACTAAGGTATCAGTAGTAATATCACAATGGAAATGAAAGACGACCAATTGCTAAACAGCAAATGTGTCCATGCAAGTACATGACTCAGGTAGTGGGAATCATCTATCTCTTTTTTGCTGATTGTTTCGTATATTCATTGAATTTTCATCATTCAGGGGTAAAAGCAGCGTGGTCAGCCGGAAGCGTCTCCCCAAACACCTACATCATGACATCCCACTCTTACACAAAGGCGATTGGTACTTGTAGGTATCATCTTGTTTTAACCTGTTCGCTGTTTCCAGGAAAAAGAAAGCCCGGTTCTCGTCTATCCACTAGTTGTCATAGTCGCCTCAATACCCCCTTCTTGCGCGTCCATATCTTGTATTCCCATCAAACATGATCCTGTCAGAGATTATACTCCAAGCTGAAATACTGTTACACGTTATCCTACCAAGATGGCACTAATGTAGCGTCATCGACCCTTTGCAAGTCCTTTGCCATCTAAATCTATACAAAATATTCAGAAGTTGACCATACCCTCCTATTGAAGCAGGGTAATTGTAACCAAAGAAGCTGTTCAGATCATATTCAAACCACGCATCAATTGGCGATTCTTTGGCCGGCCACGGCACATACTTTGGATCGACGAGGGCAGGTAAAGGCTGCAGCAGCACCATACTAACATCGTCTGGAAACACATCTGCTATGCTGGCCCAGACCTGTGGGTTCGATGTCTTGACGAGAGAATACACAAGTTGGTGTGCCCTCGCCGCTATGACGTTGGTCGCACGCATGGCAAGCAGCCAGCCAACGAGCTGTCGTACACCGTGTGCCGACAACGAAGACGAGTCAGCGAAATGGTCTGGGCATGCGATTGCGTTCATCAAAATAGCGAGCGCTTGCATCACTGTGCGGACCTTTACATCAGCATTGGGAAACCGCACACAAGTGAAGGAAGTCTCACCATTATGAACAATGGTCCACCACGGACCCTTTTCGTACAAAGTTGCTATGTCAGGCACTGTCCCCAAAAGTGCCACCACATCGCTCGCTGCTTGAATGCATGCCTCGGCTATGGATTGGTCCAAGTTGGTGAATTCACCCGACCCAGATTCCGTAGAACGCTCGATACGGCGAAGCGAAGGGCGTGTCATTAGGATCTTTACGCGGTAGTACTGGAGTTTAAGTAGAGAGTTATTGCGCTGTTGGGTGTAATCCATAGCCCAATTTTCCGAATGGAAGTGGGGAACGCAATCCACAACCCATTTGTCCAAATCTCCTACCAACGCAACCATTGTCTGTTGGACGCGAGACCATGGCGGAACCAGCTTTCGTTGGGTATACAGAGTGGATATCACCTGCTGCGTTAGCATGTGCAAGCTAGAGTCGGCGTCTAGGAATGCCATGTTTGTTGTTCTGGGAGCACCTTGTCCATAGGTGCTGGATGTTGTATCAAAAAAAGCTTGTGATGAAGGGGTAGTGATTTGGTCACCTGGCAGAGTACTTGGACGGCCCGTGATTGAAGCCAAGAGGCTCTCTAGTGCATGTAGACTCCACCATGTGTCTACGCGACTTTGTTGTCTGGCTGCAGACATAGAATGGTCTTCCTGCTGAGCATGGAGTCCAAGGGAAAGTGCAGATTGCATGGCTCCACGGGCCATTATCCAGGCTCTATCGACGCATAGTCAGTAGGTGAGGATTTCAAATGTGAGAATATGATAAAGTGAAGCATCAGTCTAGTGAATATTATGCATAGTGGCACTTACCTGTTGAAATGACCAACACTCATGTGGTAAATGCTAAAAAGACCAGCTGCCTACAGGCGATTAGCGATAATATAATTATCCCGAGGAAAAACTAGCTACCTGAATAGAAGACAAATCTGGAGTCGAGAAGCTAAAGGCAGAGTCAGTCATTGCGAGCAACTGATAAGCACGTGATATGTATATGACATGATCGAGACTGTCGGCGCGCCAGTCGGCTTGGATGAGATGAGAGAATTTAGCTCCAATGGCGAAGACGAGATTGACCAAGGCAAACCAGTTCTGTGGGCATTGTATTTCTTTGTGGCTGTGAACTAGGCTGTAATACTGATGCAGCTGTGCCTCAAGCATGGTTGGCAGGATCGGAAAGGATTTCTGAACAGTGCGTTTGAAACACTGGAAGAGAAAGTTTGCGGTTTGTTCCGAGGGCAGCTCAAAAGGATTGCCGCCGTGGATAATCTTGACACCTTCGTCGTCAAGATGATAAGTGGCGGAAGGATAGGTGATGGGCGCAGTAGAGGGAACCGGGTTGGTTGGAGTGAAAGCTGGCGATGGGACAAGGACCGGAGGTAGCGGGAATGCCATGGGCACTGAGGCGCTTGTCGATTCCAGGCCGGGCGGGGCGACAACCTGGATCCTATTTCTGAGGCTCTGTAGCCATTGAACTTCAGACACCTGGCTTGGGAACCCTGCTTCGACTACATCGAAGAGATCTGCCGCTGCTTCTTCATCTTCATCGTCTGATTCGTCAGGGAGGATACCGTCTAACCGGGGTAGTGATGATTGGTCTGAGTCAGTTGATAGTCCTAGAGCCTGGGTCGAGGAAGTAGTAGTAGTAGGCTGCAAGTGCGAATGCTTTTGGTACAGGGAGGCGACGGATAGGCGAGAAGAAGAAGATGGTGTGAAGGGTGGTGGGGTGGATTCGTCGTCGGACTAAGCCGAGTTAGTCTTTGCTTGATATTGGGACATGGAGGTTTGGGGACTTGCATCCTGGAGAGCATCTACAATTCTTTGCCTGTCGTCGGCGTCGAGACGCAGACTAAGGTCCTTGAGGATAGAGACTAGCGTATCATTGCGTGCATTGGCGCTGTGTGCGAGTCAGGGGATGCAAGGCAGGGTAGAAAGGGTCTGGGGTGCTCACAGGGCTAGGCGGTCTCTCCGTGGACGCTCATAAACACAGGGCGTGTCGGCCTTGTCGCAGTAGTTGCACCGGGGAAGACCACCACTGCATTTGATTTCTAGAATTGTCTAATTAGCTGGGTGTGGAGGGTGCGGTTGTGACGACCCACTTTTTTTGTGACAGTTGCGGCATGCTAGTTGGACCCGATCTCTCTGACGAGACTTGGAAGTGGCTGCTGGCGGAGCGCGTCGCGAAGAGAGACGCGGAATGGCCACCTTGAACTGTGCTGGGTAGGGTGCAGTTGAGGCTGAGCCTGTAGAACGCTGGTCGTCTTGCATCAGAACCGGCCACTGGCAATCTGTAGGTTGCAGTGGGTGATGTTGCGAGAACAAGAAAGCATGGGGGCGGGGCTTGGATGGTTAGGTATGCTCTCGACTGCCTGCGTTATGGCAATCTACTGCGCGTACGAGGGAAGGTCGGGATCTATGTGTGGCTGTCCTGTGATTGGCTACGGTGTTCTCGCCCGAAGCACCACTGCCTTCCTATCCGTGTCCCGTGTCCACGCCTTCAGACTACTTGACCACAAAAAACAGCCATTGACACATCCACGAGCAAGTCAGGACCACAGAAAAACAAATCACATAAACACGGCGCACAACTAAAGGCCCCCCTATGTTTGCTATACTGCCACAAACTCACAGCCCTACCACTTCCTCTAACCACAACCCGCCCACTTCCTCGTCCTCGTCCTTGGTATCCATTCTTTTTCTTATCTTTTCCATGTCACCACGCTCCGCCACTCTGTAAAGGACAACGTCGCCATACCAGAATCCTCCTTCTGCAACACGCGCTTCTTCCTCTTCGTTTCTCGGGAGCCGCAGCACGACTTCTGCGCCCTCCTTGAGCCCTGCCACGCCCTGTACACGGCCAAGTCTAAACCTTGATATGCATTTCTCTTTCTGGCCTTCATCGCCAATGATGGCTCGGTACACTTTTCTTGTCTCCTCCAGCAAATCTTGATCCTTCACGATGACCGTCAGCTCTTTGATCCCCATTGCCCTACATGCATGCTTCGTCTTCTCCTCATCCATCGGCACTCTCACACTCCTTTCCGTCTCGTCGTGGCAGAAAAACGGTATCCGTCCCCTTACGTCTTGCCCGCCCTTGTCTCCTCTCGGAAACGTGACACTCCACTTGACTTGCACACCGTCTGCCCTCTTCCTCCCTCCATGAATCGGCTCCCCATGGCTTTCCCTCACGTCATCGTAGTTCTGGGATGGAGGCAGACTGTTGGTCAGACACCAATCTTTCCAGCCAACAAATGTAGAAGAAGGACCCCACCAGTGGCTGGACACGAGTGACGCCGGGGCAGTGGGAACAAAGGAGATGAGCTCGATGTAGCAGCCGTCCGAGAGGATGATCAGAACATTAGAGGTTGCACCGTCGGCATGGAAACCGCCAGGAGTCAGAGTGAAATTCTCTGACAAGTACGAGGGAACACAGGGGAGTAGAGTCTGCGGGTCTGCGGGCACAAAAAGAATCAAGTGATCCAAACACTGATGTGGTAGCATGTTGAGATCCGGAGCTGATTGTATCTTCTCTAGTTGCTGTGTCAAGGTACCATGTTGCTAGGTGGTTTCTGCGCGTCGTATATGCGGGGTTGTAGTACTTCGCCAAATATGGAAAGGAGCTACGTCGTGAGGGGGAATGCGGGGCTAGCTATAGTAGCATCGTCTTATTTCGTCCCTTCCTCGAGAATTTCACCTTCGTGCACTCAGCCTCCGGTGACTAATCTCATCGTCGATTTCGCACTCGGCACCTCGACGACACCTCTACCGTGTATACACGCCTCCAAAATGACACAGTGCACAACTCTGGGCAATCCTATTCTGAATCAGACGACAATACCCTCAATAGCACCCTTGTCAGTTAGAAAAATCGATCCGGGCCGATCCTCTTGCGCCATGACTTGCATCTTCTGTGCATCCATCAAGTATGTCATTTGTTGCGCGCCCCAGCACTTCCGATCCCTGTATCATGTACAAATGTACTTGGACAGGGGTGGCAGACGTTACGCAACGCCTTCCCGGCCCAATAGCGGAGGGTGCAGTACGTCATTGCTGTCGTGCTTGACGGAACGAGCCGCTAGCACCAGGAACTGCACGGAAACTTTCTTGCGCTCCTACATATGCCCCACATCCATACTCTGCCGATATACCGTTGCTACATTATCAGCATAAACTAATGCTACTCGCTTCACAATCCCCGTGGGCGGTGGCTTGTGACGAGTACAATCCATGTGTCATGTGGTATATAGCAACCACTGCTATTCGAGATAACCACATAGGTAGGCCGTGTTCCATGATCACGAGATACATTCCGCGCCGAACAAGAAGTAGCGCAAGGGACTGCGTGCTGTAGAGAGCGATCTGTATATATTGAAACTTGTTTGTTAATTTAGCTAAGAAAAGATAATTCTAATTACATGTAAGTGTGCCACCCAAAAGGGGTTCGGGAGTGGGAATGAAAACAATCCTCCCTTAGTTCCAAGAAACGACATATATTGTCCGTATTTGCGAGAATAAATTCCACACTTTTATATAAAGTAATTACTCGATGTGTGTATAGAATGGTGTGAGAAGTAGCAGTAGTAGCGGCAGGTCTTAGTGCGGTCTTAGCGGGCCTGTTGTTTTTACGTTTCAATCTAACAAGTCATTATTGTAATTTGCCAATATATATTTTTTATTTTCACCATTCTGGTACATACGACCACAGAAAACTTGGCAGCTGGCCATCCCGTCCGATCTGGCACACATAAACAGTTTATCGGCGGATTAGTAGTCAGGTGGGTGACCACTGGCGAATCCCCGCTGTCGTATGTTTTTGACTTTTTTTTGCTCTTTCGCGTAGATCACGTGGTCTTCGGATATAGAGGAACGTTTAGATATCGCTTACCTATTGATAGAAAAACATATCCTTGAATACATACCGGTGATTATCTAAGGCGGATAGGGCTTCATGGAACTTCCAAAGGCTTATTTTGTATCAAGAAATACATAAGACAGAGAAATCAATACTCACAGAAACCTTGAAAAGCCACCTTCTTGTTGCTTTCATCCGCATTTGTGAGCGACTACAATCGGAAAGCGATTCTGTGGTTCGAGAACCAGAGGGTAAGAGTGTTCGTATCTTGGCTGTAGTGTAGATAAGTAATCGAAAGAGAATCGTACATGGTTGCGCAGAATTCAAGTCATTCTACTGGTTTTCGCGCCTTATTGAATCTTATTCTTGCTATGGCGGCAATGGATATCCTTCATTTCGAGTCAGATAGAGCGTTTGATTACACCCGTTGCGTCATGGCCAACACCATGTCGAGGAGGGTTATTGCACGCACTAGGTTTCTAAAGCCATGCAATCACCAGCAGATCAGTCACTCTGACAAACCAATTCCTAAACAATCGAATGGCAACCCTCATGACACTTTGTCTAATCGCGCATAAATCTTTAGCATCATCAAGTGGAAGGACAGGTGGTCCCCAAGACGATAAGGTTTGCTTGTAGTAGTGTATGACAAAGTGAATGTTGCGCATGAGATGGTGAATGGTGATGTATTGGAAAGATTCCGTATTTACTAGACTGCCCACTATGTCTTGTATAAGAATGAATGAAAAAATTGATTCTAGTGCTGAAAGACATAACAATGCGCTTGTGGTCACATTCAACACATATATGACTGGTACTGAAACTGAAACTACCGCGATATACATTCTATGCGTTCACGTCATGAGCATCCCAGCCGACGAACATGTGAATTTTCATTCACTTACCAAACTCAACCAAACTCTAAATGTGGCAGTGAATTCCAAAAGTGGCCATGGCCTCAGCACCGCCAAACTGTTTCACTATACCCCACCTTTTTGGTCATATTGTACGTCAACACATGGAACAAGATCGAAGCAGCAAACATCTTTGTCTTTGTCTTTCGCAGAATTGTTCTTTTTCTGAGGTGTTTGTACATACAAACTTCCTCATACTTCAACTAGGCACTTCATCTCTAAAGTACTTTGTGGAGGTCCACACTACAGCCACGTAGTAACTTTGCGAGATCTCAATGCAACAGGCGATGTGTTAGTTTCCCCTGGCTACAGTATTCGCAAGAAAGGAGATACGAAAGAACATGACTCGGATGACGAGACTTCCCCCCAGCGCGGAACGTCGACACCAATCAAAGGAAAGTTGGAGAGGCTTCCAGAGGTCTCTAACAATGTCGATACTGACAACGCGCTAGACGATGAAGAACAAAGTGCAGATCAGTCTTTCAATACCAGTGGCGATTCATTACCCCATGTGGTTGAAGATAGTGACAGCGAATTGTCGGACGATCCAACGCCGTACATGGACCGCGAGCTCATAAGCAAACCACGATGGCCGGAAGAAAATTTCGAGCCCCATGAAACGGATGCAGCCAAAATAAAAGCCGTCTTCCATCTCAAGCTGGCCGATGGTAGCGGCTGGTACACACAAAGAGACGTATTGCCTGAGCAGCGCGAGTCAGCAGAAGAAGACGAGAGATACGAACACAATACTCTTTTCGTTCCTGAGCTCACAGCTTGCAAGGTTCCCCAGAAGCCCAAAGCTGAAAACAATGCTACCTGCTCCCCCTGGATCAAGGTCTCCACATGGCGATGGAAGCGAACTGCAGACAACAAAACAGAATTCTGGACTCCGAACTTCGTCTTCCGTCGATTTCACGCCCGCAACCGCAAGTACGAAGGAATCTACGTCGGCGAGACGCGGATCAAAAACATCGACCCCAACAACAAGGCCTGGGTATCTGCATACCACAAGTGGATCGACCAGATCAAACGCCGTTCAGATAGCAGTTGGGTGCACGAAAAACGACGGGATCACTGGGCCGTACCCGAGATTTGCGCCATGTACAATGGCATCAACGATTTTCTACACACCAACGGTATCGATGCCTACCATGGGATAACGAATGTTAGTCTCCAACCGATACTTGATGCGATAAACGCGGCAGGGAACAAGAATCGCGGGATGGATGCACTGCGCGGACAGATGAGTTCTGCGCACGAGTTGAAGAATGCCAGTATGGCTTACCTTCGTGATAATGTGCGGGAGCTGGTCAAGTATCTGGAGGATGGGGGCATACTTGATGATGAGGAGAGGTTTCCGGAGAAGTTTATTCCAGAAGAGGAGTTTCCGACGGCTCCAAGAGGGAATATGCGGAGACTTGGGAGTAAGAACAAGTCCTCCGGTCAGAAGGTGAAGGATGTGGCGGGTAGTGTTGAGACTGATGCTCCCGGTAACGATACAGTGGGCGATGAGGTATACGTTCATCTTTGCTGAAGAAGTAGTCGGGAATCTTGCCTGCAGCGTATACCTTATAAATGACTTCTTGGGGCGGACGAGGTTAATCAGATACATAGATTTACTATTGAAAATCGATGCTTTGCATTTCCTGTCCTATCCCTAATACTAGCGCACCTTCCTCATGACCCAAGTGACTTCTTCTGCAGAATCACATGAGACTCTACATCCCTATCAGTCCGTAGCCATTCACAGAATGCCACTGCATGTCAGCTGACGTTACAAACTATGCAGTCAGACACTGTAAACATGGCTGACAACCTTTCCTCTCCTGTTTCGCGATTCCCACTTGAGGAAACCTGTTGTGTGCTGGCAGTTGCGCTGCAGAAATTGCCCGGCGAAATCTGTGAGAGAAACAAAATGTGCAGCAATCAAGATTCAGAACCCCGGGAGGTTTGGGATAGCAGCAATGCAATGTTTTCGAAGAGAAGGCTGGATCGCAGTGAGGAAGAGGATGGCCTGAATGAACCTCAGAAGAGCAGGACTGGACTCGAAGTGAACTTCTCTGGCGACCTTCCAGAGCCACTGCATCCAGAGCCATTGGAATCAGGCCTAGCGGCTTTCAGTGAGAGCAATCAGAACAGATCAGAAGATTGCATTGCGGTAAGCAACGAAAGTTTCAAGCAATCGAGCTACATCGCTACAGAACTGAGCAATCGCCATGGCGCTACGTCGACACTCAATGCAATCGGATTGGGTCTCACCAACGACTCTTCACCTTCGTCTCCTTGTCGTAGCCAAAACATGACTACCAAAGTATCTGACGGGCTTGAACGTGGATTCATGAACCTTTCATCCCCTATGGCTGACTTTTTGAGGCCGGACAGCAGGTGCACTGATCGCCCCTTCCCCCCTAGGCCTGTTGCACTATCACTGTTTCCACCTCGATCGCCATTGACAGGAAATCGCGAGTATACCCCACCCAACAGCCCATTTCTTCAGTCAGTCAGCCCGATTTCGCCGTTGAACAATGGGAGAGACGTTTATGGCAATTACATCCCTTCGAACACACGTGATTACTTCACTACACAGCTACTGTCTTTTTTGCCAAACTCTCAGCCAATCAACAAGTACAAAGCTCCATCTGTGAGCGAGAAGTCATCATCCACCAGTCGGCTATATGGCTGTCGCTGGGACAAGCTGAGATCGCTTTGGAAAGTAGCTGAAACTCAAGTATCCAACCCACGAACCAATCCTTATCCTCTGCAACTCATCCCCGACGAAGACGTCATACCACAGGACACACCCATAATCACGCGTGTAGGACGGCCTAGCAATCAAGCTCCACCCAGTATCCGTTCGTGGTTGCTTGAAAGTCAGTCTAGAACAGACTTGCAGGCGGTAGACAGTGTGAAAAGCAGACCCTCTACCTATACTAGCAGAAGTGATGCAAAGCACACTAACTCGCAAACGAGAACACAAAAATTGGTCGACACAAGTTGCACTCCCGTTTACAATAATCACTCTAATGCCATTACATGCAACGGCAAACTCGCTCCCAGAGATGAGAAGAGATGGCACAAAGACAATCTTCCGCCACCACCTAAATCTCTACCAGCGCCGCCTCCCAAAAGCGTTCAAGCTCAACATCGAAATGCCAACTTGTCTCTGTATGCAGTAATACAGAGCCGTGGAGTCAAATCGCCTGTATGTAACAAGAAGAAGGACTGTAAGCCCAACAACCGACCTAGAAATGAATATCCCGGTGCTTGTCGAAAAGGTCAAAGTGATCGAGAAATTCGATGTACAGAGAGGCAGCAGCGACCAGCTAGAGAAACAGGCCATGAACTCAAGGAGAACCTCGTGTACCGAGAAGAGGCACACAAACAAAAACATGATCTGATCACGGCCGGATCTGAAGATGGCACCACCAAGGCAGCGACAGTACGAGATTTGGAGAGCCGCTTCGAGTTAGAGCTCATAGTAGACTCGGGTCTACAGTCTCCCAAGATTCCAGCCGCATCATCACGATACTTGCCTCTTCATAGCCCCATTCCTGTTTCTCCTCGGCACCCGAATGAACAGATGCGCCATACGGGAACAGTTGGCCATGCCGCTGCTATCCCATCACCAAAACCTGTCGCGCCGGCCACTATCCAAAAATATCAAACTTCGCTTCATTCTGTGCTTTCGAAAGCAGGAAAATTGTCACGCTCCGTCCTGATTTCACCTTTTGAAACTGGTTCGAAATCTGGTTCACAGCACCATCGACTCGTAGACCTGGACAAGAATGAGCCGACAAGAATTGGTATAAGTGCAGATAGCAATGGGTGGCCTCGCTCATGTTCTTCGGGTCCAAGAAATGAGATGACAGGACGCAGCAGGGAGAGTAAAAATGGAATGAGAAAGATTGAAGGCTTATATCCCGAGAGATGCTTTGAGACAAAAGACTCTGGAAGAAATGAGTACTTAAGTGCACCAGCAGTAAGCAATGATACTGGTGGGTCTCAATCAGCTGTCTTTACAAAGCTACAGAATGTACCTGCTCCCAGTGTCGAACTTGCCTCTACCTCCAACCTGACCGATACGCCGGATCGATTCCAAGCAGGCCTCGCTACGCGGAACAAGGCCAACGGCGCTATGCATTCTAATCAAACGAATCAAGAATGGCTTGATAGCATCGTTCTCAGAACCAGTACTACCACACAACCCACCCTCAACAGAAGCAGCGACTCTAATGATGAAATTGATCACCCGTCTCACCATATCCTGCCCCTGCCCAGCACTGAAGCCAGCAGCCTAGCAGTCCACTACCAAGCCCTTACCACCGGCGCCATCAACCCTTTATCCACCCCGACACTATCTACCCACAACAATTACGAAAGTCTCGACAGCGCCACACAAGAAGCTCTTCTCATCGCTGACCGTATCCGCCAATACGATGCAAGATTTAGCGCTGATGGAGAGGGAACCATGATCCGATCGAGCTTCAGCTCTGATACTTCAGATGAGGCTACGCAGCAAGATGAAGAGAAAGAGAAGCGGAAGCGGAAGAAGCAGAGTTTTTGGGAATGGCAGGATTTTGCTAGGGTTATGGCGTTGATGCATTCGTATGAGTAAATTCAATGCTCTGCTCTCTTCCTACAAAGCAGAGAGCGGCTTTTGCAGGATCTCAATGCGAGGTGAATAATGGAATGAAGGGGTAAAATATGATTTCGATATATTGGAAGTTATGTATGCATGATTTAAAGAAATTTATCTTATGCAATTGAGATGGAATAGTGAGAGATAATCTACAAGAGTTCCTGATTCGGATCTGCTTCATGTAATCATCTTCGTCTAGTGTCACTACAGCAGTGTGTACTATATTAACCAACACATTGGAAAAAAAAATGATGAAAAAAAAGAAATCGATAGTGTACATCCCTTTCTCCTAGCAAATCTACAATAATGTTACATCTCTTCCAGAGAGCAGCCAAACCCGGCGCTACGATCCAGTGAAACCTTAAGAAGAAAAAAGATACAAAGTGCAAACCCAAAAGTCTCACAAAGAGTAGAGTTTGTCCCCAGTAAAGAAAAAGAAGAAGACTCGCAAGCCCAGCCATCCACAATTCAAGCCTCCATACTCAGCAACCTCAATAATCACAATGACTATACTCATACAAGCTACCCACCCCCGCAACCCCCACCACACACGCCAGCGCCTCCTGGCGATCCCAAAAATACTCTCTCATCCACTCCACCACCATGTCCAGCCCAGAAACGGGTGAATTACAGCTCCAAACCTTACCGTGCCGCGCCCAAGGCGCACACTGCCACTCCGTCTCCGGAAACCGGTGCTGCAAGCAGGGCAGCAGCGAGCGAGGCGCCGCAACGCGGGTGCCGTGCAGACTCCCTGCTTGGACTAGATGCGCAATGCCTGAGGAGATGGTCATGATGGCGAGGAGGTTTGTGTTGAGGCATTGGGAGGTGAGAAAGGAGGAGGCGGGGGGAGGGAGGTTAGTTAGAGTGGAGGTGCCGGGAATGAGGAGGATGTCGAATTGGGGGGCGTTGGTGAAGGAGTTCTGTGAGTGGAAATAGTCAGTTGATGTTTTATTGATTCTTTTTTTTGAGGGAGAATGAGGGATGTGGGGGGGAATCGTGTTAACCTTTGTCTCCCCGTGCCAGACTTGTCAGAGATGACTACTTTTGATATGGAAAAAGAGCAGCCAAGACCGGGCGAAATCCAGCGGGGCCAAAAAGGCGGTTTCTTCTTGGCCGGGAGAATGGGCTGTAACGGGAGGTTTGGGGAGGAGGATGGACGGAAAAGGCATGTCGGTGGGTGTTTGTTTATAGGAGCGATATCGAAGGTGTTAGCTCACCGTCACCGGCATTCGCGAGCCAGCTGTGACGGGGAAACTTCCTTCTCCCGTCATGCTAACGTATCGAATGTCGATTTCGTCCACGGCTTGGTCCAGTGCTGCGGCCGTAGGGTTGGATTTGCTGATCCGACTTTTGCCAATCATGGCGAGAAGGTCGAGAGCGGCTAAGTCGAGCAGTTGGACTTGACCGAAAATGATGACGCCGATTTTTAGTGAGGATCTTGAGGGAGCTGCATAGTGTAGGTTGAGGTTTTCTTGCGAAGTCGATGATGTGGTGCAATAATAGAAGAGGTCTGCTTGACTTGGAAAGGAAATACTGGAATTTCCTGTGGGAGACGACATGAGGACCACGGGGAGATTTCAATACAAGGTCGGCTAAACTGAAACTTCTGAAGTTGTAAGACTTGGTGTGAATAATGTATTCTCGCCTTGTGGCCTGAGGAAGAGCTTTATATCACACACTACGTAGGTGATGAGCCATCCTGCATCACTCAAACCCACGCAACGTCGCCAAGGGTAGCAGGCGCCACGCCCAAGCGTCATACGGGGGTAAATGCCTGCGCTTACATGGTGCTCTTGCGCTATACTGATGATGTGCATTGGTGAATTGCAATGCGGCTCAGCCCCTGGGGAGGTTGATGACTTTCCGGTTAGGGCCCGCTCACGAACCGACAGTTCCCGACCCTCACCATTAACTTTGAACATGACGTTGTCTGATGGACTTGCAGTGATTCATGTGGTGATTTTTTTTGATATCGAAACAAGTAGTTACAATACGCCTCAGGTATAAATGTTGTTTATTTTTGGCGACTTGCATAATGTTGTTGCCTATGTGCCGTCTTGATGCTGCACAGATTGAGGATGCTAGGCATCACCATTCGCGACCATGTCAATGGACCATGACTCTGGGTAGACGGCACAAGCAGCGGCAGCGCCGAACCGTAATCGCGTATTCAGGAACGATGGACTAACTCAAATCTGGTCCGGGAGGGTCTAAAAACGGAGATGAAGGGAAGAGTCGGAGGTGAGTGTGGTCAGCTGCCATGGAAGGACGAGCGTGGCAGATGCTATGGCGACAAGTATAACACTGGGCGTTGCGAGGGGCCAGACAGGGACGGCGACCCGGCTTCAACTCGTGGCATGTGACCTCGACGTGCCGCTTGGCGCAGAGGCAATCTGGTGGAACACCGAGATGCCGCGAGCAGGCGGTGCGCAATACGACGTCAAACCTACAACAGCTCTGACATCTGGCATAAAGGGTTGCATCTGCTAGAGTCTCTGCAAAATGGCGCGTTGCACTTCACCGGCCATCATGTGTATGTTATGGTGCGGGGTATCCTTATTCAATTGCAACATCTATGTATACGTTGCTCGAGGTGTACGGGGCCGTCGCGGCAGCACAAAGGCTTACTCACAATGCGACCGTAGTAATGTTCACCGCGTCTTATCCAAAAAAACAAAACAAAAAAAACAAATGTACTAGAAAAATCATTGCTCGTTGGCGGTGTATGCTCTGCCCTAGACCTCCTTGGCCTCACCGTCGGCCTCGCCCGACTTGACCGTCTTGCCGGTCTTCTTGATCTTCTCCAGGACGGTATCGTAGTCGAGCGAGTCGGCAGCGGTAATCTCAGCAGTCTGGTTCTCGAGAGAGACATTGTACGACTCAACGCCTGCGTGCTTGTTAGTCTGTTGTGGCGCAACTGCTGCTAGGCACGGTACTAACCTTCGAGCTTCTTAAGCACGCGCTCAATAGCGCCAGAGCAGCCGCCGCAGCTCATGGCAACGTTGAACTTGTAGGTGTGAGTCATTGTGTAGGTTGTAGGTGTGTGGTATCGGCTTGGTTGGAGGGGTGGTGGTCGTGGTCTTGAGGGTTAACGTGGATTTGCCGAGATTTTGTGTGTTCAATGCTAGCAATCGTAAAGCGGTCACGCAAGAGGTATATATAATCGACTACATCGCGCGCTAGCGTAGGTACGGACTTTGACCAAGGGATATGAGCAAGTTTCAAGATAATGGTGCAATTCGGCTAGATTGCAATAGATTGTGGTCGTGCTCCGTTGACATATCCAACCTTTGCCATGACAGTCCGGCAGGTGGAACCCGTTGCGCCTCAGCCAGGTGCATTTCTCATCTAAGGTTTGAGGGTCGGACAATTTAGTGGGGTGAAACTTGCTCACGGAGAACGTCCTTGGGCCCAGAATGGAAATTATGCCATTGCTGATTCTCTAGACAACACCGTGTCCCCTGCCGTGTCTTTGTAAATAAAATTGTCGCTCCGCATTCCCCGTGTTGTGAGCATCAGTAAGGAGTGTCATGGTGATGCGATGCTTCGTGTCGTCCGGACAGACTCGAGATGGCAATACTGAATACCGGTCCGATCAGAAGTGCCCAATGATCAGGCTGCGGAGACATAGCCCATGAGGTACCAAACGGTTTCTCGCGCTGATCGCATGTTGCAAAGTCTACTTGTTTCCTTTACAGCAAAGCAGAGAAACGCAGAGTCGCCCAGCATCATCTGGCCCATGTCGCGTGCTAATCTTGTCTTGTTCCTGATGCTGAACCCTGAGACTGAGCGGCCCCACGTTGGCTAGCGCGGGGACCCGGGCTGGCCTGCGACTGCGGCGGTGACGTCTTTGGACAGAGCTTGTGCTGTCCATGCCAGCCAAAAAAAACATTACTCTGCCATGGCTTCGTAGGTACCACACAGGCCTCAACATGTCATCCTGCTTACTAAATGGCCAGCAACATCCTCTTCCTTCCCTTCCGACGCTCGCACTCGGTCAACCTCAGCAATGCCGTCAAGCAGTACATCTCGTCCAAATATGACCAGCACCCGGACATGTTCACCAAGGACATCGAGACGTTCGAGAGGCTCCGCTCTGTCGCCACACATGCTCAGGAAGCCCATCCGAGCAATATCCCCAAGTTGCAGCAATACGCTGCGCAGCTGATATGGTTGAGCGGCAAGTTTCCCATCGACATCGGCGTCGAGTTCCCCTGGTATCCTGCGCTGGGATACAACACGAGCCGCCCGACATCGCGCAACAATCTCCGGTTCGAGCTCGCCAACATCATGTTCAACCTCGCCGCCATGTACTCGCAACTGGCAATGTCGTCCAACCGAAGCACACCAGATGGCCTGAAAGCGGCCGCCAACAACTTTTGTCTCGGCGCCGGCGTTTTGTCCCACCTGAGAAACAACATCTTGCCCGATCTTCGGACCGAGCCTCCAGAAGATATGGATCTCATGACACTCGAGTGCTTGGAGAAGCTTCTGCTGGCTCAAGCCCAGGAGTGTTTCTGGCAGAAGGCGGTCAAAGATGGGCTGAAAGATGCCACGATTGCAAAGCTAGCCGCACGCGTGTCGGATCTCTATAATGAAGCGGGGGACGCAGGTATACAATCTGACGCAATCAGCAGCGAGTGGATACACCACATGACAGCAAAGCACCATCACTTTGCTGCCGCTGCCCAGTACCGTGCAGCTTGCGACTCCCTCGAGAAGCGCAAGTATGGTGAAGAGGTTGCAAGACTACGCGACAGTCTCACATGCGTCAACGAAGCCCTCAAAGAACAGCGGTACATCAACAAGGCCGTGTTGGCTGACTTGAACGGCTTGAAGAATCGCATAACCGAAGACCTAAAGCGCGCCGAAAAAGACAATGACATGATTTATCTGCTGCCCGTTCCACCAAAGGCAGAACTCAAGATACTAGATAGAGCAAACATGGTGGTAGCAAGGGTTCCAAAGGAGATCGCAGAGTCCAACTCAATGCTAGGGGAACACGGCGAGCTTGGTCCAGCACTCTTTTCCAAACTGGTACCATACTCAGTGCACCTGGCAGCAAGTATCTACGTCGATCGCCGCGATCGACTGGTCAACGGTCAGATTGTTGAGCAGTTGGAAGCGTTGACAGACAAGATTCATGAGGTACTCCGTAGCTTGAACCTGCCGGGGTCGCTCCAGGCTCTCGAGAAACCACTAGGCTTGCCGCCAGGTCTGGTTGCCCACGCTGATGAGATACGCCAACAAGACGGCATCAACCGACTCCTACGCTCCATGGAAGACACTAAGAAACTCATGTATACCGACCAAGCTATCTACCAGGAAGGTGTTGACATCCTGCGCTCAGAAGCTGCAGAGGATGAAGGCGCACGTCGGAAATTTGGTACTGAGCAATGGACCCGACCACCTGCCGCGCAGGCTGCTCCCAAACTACACGCTCAGATTGCTGAAATTGATGGGTACTTCAAGGCTGCAACAAACAGCGACAACATTGTAAAGACAAAGCTCAAGGAAAACGAATACTTCATCAAGCTACTCAGTGGGTCCGACCATGAACTGGAGAACTATGTGCCCAGTGGTCGGAGACCTGCCATTACTGGAGATGTAGAACGTGAAGCCGTCAAGTTACGGGGCAGCTTCAATGAAGTGAGCCGACTTGAGAGCCGACGGCGGCGAAAGATTGAGGCATTGAGGACCAAGGCAAAACAGGATGACATAAGTAGGTGTTGCACTGCCATCTCGCTGACCAAACCCTGACAAGACATTAGATCCAGAGCTGCTGCGCGAAGCCGCTCGCTTAGAGCGGGAGTATCCTATGCAGACAATCGAGGCTGTACAGTTTGAGAGCTTGTTTGATAAGCGACTACAGATGTACGATGCTGATTTGGACATGGTTCAAGAAGAAGAGAAGGAACAGGCTGAGGCGATCAAACGGCTACAAGACGCAAACGCTGCCTTTCTGATCGCTCGTCGCGGAGACCAGTCTACTAAGAAACGTGAACAGGCATTGCAAAACTTGGAGAACGCATACTTCAAGTACAAGGAAATCATCTCCAACCTTGATGTTGGCCGCAAGTTCTACAACGACCTTGCCAAGATTGTGAATCGGTTTAGGGATGAAGCGCGGACTTTTGCCTATAACCGCAAGTCCGAAGCATCTCATCTGGAAAGGTATGTTGCGGCAGTCGGTAGTTTATTGCCCTATACTGATCACAAATAGCGATCTTACTACCCGGATGAGCTCCCTCGGTCTTCAGCAAGCAGCGTCAAGCTCGCTGCAGCAGCAGAAGAAAGCCGATGCACAGGATCCCCACTATGGCGCAAGTGCACATGCTGAAGAGCCACTGACTGCACCAACACCTACGAGGGCAAGCATGCCTCCGGCTGCGGGCATGTGGACTCCAGAAGTAGGAATACGGTTTGGTGGCCCTCCTACAGCGTCTGGCAATCCTAGGCCTTCGGGCGGACCTCCGCAAGACGGGAGGTGGGATCCTGCCCAAGGACTGAAATTTGGTTAAACACGCCGAGGGCGTCATCAGCATTGGTCCATTTTTCACGGGCGACTATATTGGATAACACCCATGACCAACAGGAAGACTTTTTGTTTTGGATCAAGTCAATGCGTGTAGCCTTTCTCGTCACACGAAGAGAAGGCGAGGCGGGGCCAGGCCATGGCAGCGTCGTAATCCAAGGCAAAGTGGTGAGTTATGAAGTAAACACCAATACCACCGAGACTTGGGTCATTGGACCCTGGCGCGTTGTTGCCGTGTAATTGTGTAGTAGATGCAGCACATGAAGAGGACATTACGTGTGCACACGCATGATTCCAAGAAGCAATGGACCGAAGGACAAATGCTATAAATATCGCTGCAAAAGGGATGTTATGTTGCACATAGTTTGCCAGAAGGGGCATAAGGGCTTGGTGTATGTACGTATAATGGTGGGGACGTGGTAATCAGCCTTGAGGGAGTGTGCCTTGCGACATGTGTGGAAGCGAGGCAGTGCACAAAGGATCACCCACCGGCCCTGGACGCCCTCTGCCAAGAAGTAGCGCGACCCGTGAAATCAAATCTGCGGTTTTGCACGTGCAGTTTTGCCGCCGGTCAGGTTGATGCCGACCGTTTCATGGCGGTTCGGCAATACTGGTCTTCTGCAATTCTGACGGTGACCACTCGTTGCAGCTGGTTGGAGCGTGGGCCAAGTGAGGAGCCCGCCCTAATTCACATCTGTCATGTACAGTACATGGTAGACCAAAAGCGACCTAGGTGTATAAGGTTGGAGCGGTGGGAGCATCTAGCACAGTGATTCTGCAAAACGTCACAGCTGTCAGGTAGCGGTCAGCTCAGCTCAGCTCAGCTCCCACTCCAACAGCGCTGCCAGATCAGCCCGCTGTCGTTCGCGCGATACCAGTCATCTTTCTGCTGGCGTATCTTGTCCTTGTGCGCACGGAGTCTCTCTCTCTCTCGAGTTGCTCGTATCGGCACAAGACCACGGCAAGCAAACTACCTCTCCTCCTGGGTCCACCCAACGTCGTCGAGGACAACGCATAACTCTTCGCCAATCTTAACCGTTTCACTGCTCGAGCGACTGAAACGCGGGAACTCACGAGAGAACTCTTGCAGTGGGATTTCCATCGCGGGGCTAATAATAGCAGACTAGACCGCTTCGAGCGACATTGCTCTTCGTGAGGTGGGCTGTGTCTGCGACCGACGACGACACTGCGCCTCCTTCACACTCACCAGCCCCAGCAGTCAAGCCAGTCAAGAGAGTACATTGCGCGTTCCTGGCAGACTTTGGACCATTCAGCGTTCGTGCCTGTTTCTTGGTGTTGTTGACTTCTCCACGCGGGCCCAAGCGCGGCTCTCAGGGCTCACTCCCTCCACATCCCACCTATTGTTAGGAACGCGAATACCTACATCATGGACATCCAGCAACGGGGGCGCTCCCCCTCGGCTGGCCAGCATGCTCATAAAGACCACTCCCCCTCACCCGCCTCACAGCCGCCATTCCAGCACCAGCCCAACGCCGTCTTGGGCTTCGACGCCATCCAGGACCCTTCCTCCTACGCCGTTACAAGCGCGGGGTTGAGCAACCCACAGTTCCTCACTGCAAGCCAGGGCCAGTCCTTCTCCCAGCAAACCGCCTTTTCCGACTCGGGCTTCCTGCAAGCCTCGCAGAGCCTCTCGCAAAACAACACACCGCATTTTGGCCCCCAAGGCAACAATAACAACATCTCGCCTGACCCCCTCGATCTAGCAGCTCCAAATAACGCCGATTTCAACAATTTCTTCCAGACAAACGACCTTGGGCAAAACCAGTCCTTGTCTTCGTACCTCGGTCAGACGCTTGATCCCCACATACTCGACACGCAGTCGCAGCAGAACCAGTCCGTCAACCCTTCAGATCTCATGCATCAGATGGCAGCCGCACCGCACAACGCGCCGACACCACCCCACCTTCTTCCCAATATGAACAATCATCAAGGCTCAAGTCCGCACGCTTCGCCCAACATGGCTCACGGCGCATTCCGATCCCCAGGTCACTCGCGACACACGTCGCTTGACCCCAGCGCGGCTTACGCACAAACTTCAGAATGGGGTCAGATGGCAAGTGCAAGCTTCGGAGGACCCAGGTCCAGAGGAGGTAGTGATGCTGGCTATTCAGACGTCGCATCCTCGGCGCACAACTCGCCGTACTTGCACCAGCATGATAGCTTCGACAATGACCAGCCGTCACCTCTCCTTCATGCGCAACATGACCCACAGCTATTTCAGGACCCCGTTCCTGGGTTTGACCGATTCAACCTGAACAACAGCAATGCGCACATCAGCGCCTCAAACACCCCCAACATCTCACCTCGTCTACTGCCCCAGAATCAACAGGCTCTGCCACAGTTCCAGCCCGATACATTTGGCCTCAACCGGAGCATGAACCCATATGCGCCTCAAGGTGTGAATGGCTTCTCTAGCCAGAACTCGGAGCCATTCCCATCACTGAACCAGCCTATGCCTGAATTTGGCCACGCAGATGCAATGTCACCACCAGAAATCAACATTGATTTCGCACCACCTTCGCGACAAGCAAGCTTCGAGCCACCAAAGGCCGAACCCCAGTTGGATGCATTGAGCCCGCCTGACCGATGTAAGCAGTCTAATTGCACTGTATGAGTTATGCTAACACCAAGACAGCACGCAGTCGGAACAGGTCTCGTGCCAAATCTGACCCTTTTAGCAGTGTTAGCTCGCGCGCTTCTACTCCCGGCTCGGGCGTTCATCGATCACTTTCTCCCAATGCTGCAAAGTCTCGTTCTCCTTCACCCTCTGGGAAATCGTCCCGCCGATCGTCCACATCAAGCATGCCCAATCGCGATTACATCTTAGATCTCGCAGACCCCACGCGGCCCGCGCCTGCCGATGGCTCGAACCCAAAGCGTACGCAAAAGCACCCAGCGACCTTTCAGTGCACTCTATGCCCGAAGCGCTTTACACGAGCGTACAATCTCCGATCGCATCTGCGCACACATACAGACGAGCGCCCGTTCGTTTGCAGTGTTTGCGGCAAGGCATTTGCGCGCCAGCATGACCGAAAGAGACATGAGGGTCTCCACTCTGGAGAGAAGAAGTTTGTCTGCCGTGGTAACCTCAAGGACGGCAACAATTGGGGCTGTGGCAGGCGCTTCGCCCGCGCAGACGCTCTTGGTCGGCACTTCCGGTCTGAAGCAGGTCGTGTTTGCATTCGACCTTTACTGGAAGAAGAAGCACGTGAGAAGGGTGAATGGAACGGCCAGAATCAGCAGATGAACAATGGCAATGGCATGTTTGCATCGATGCCTGCTCAAAACTTCAACAGTATGGTGCCTGGACAACCTGGCTTTGAGCCGTTCCCCCAGGCTGGTAGCATGCAGGCGCCACAGCCATTCTTGCCTGCCGCTCTTCTGGCGCAATATCCTGCGCTTGCAGGTATTCAGTGGGACCAGCTTCCTGCTGGGCCGCCTGATGAAGATGGTGACATTAGCGGGCGCAGCAGCTTCGATGCTTCGAGTGGAGGAGAATATTTCGAGGAGGAAAACGACTATCAGCAGAGTAACCAACAGTCCATGTATGCAGGTAACAACAATGGGTGGGTGAGCGACTCTTATGACGGCCGATGATCTTTTTCAACTCTACGACCTGCTTTCACTTTCCTCCTTTCAGGGTGGATATCTGGACAACATTTCTGACGCGTTTATGACCTGGATTTTCTTGCTGCGTTACCGCCTGTTCTGTCGCTTCCTTGTATGTACTGCGCTTATATACCACTTTCATTGCTTCATGGCGCGAAAGCAGGGTTCACTTATACCCCCTTGGGCTTGGGATTGAACAACATCTGGGAGTTTTACCTAAGGCGATGTGGAGGGTGTTGTTTTTTCTTTCATCTAGATGGTTGCAGATACCACACACGAAATGTACCTTTGCGTGTTTGCACTGTACCTGTAGTGAATGTGACATCTCAGCCGCAACAGTCAGACACAATGAACGCACAAAGAAAGTTACTCGTGGCTTGCTGAGGCGTAGAAAGAAAGTTGAAAAATATGCCCTTTGTCTCCCTCCACTCGTCATTTTGCTTCTCCTCGATGTGATTACAACAAAAAAAATGCTCGCTTGTGACATCAACAGCGCTCCGTAAGCCGAGTAAAATGAAAGGCAGTGCTATACCTCCACCACTCACACGAAGCCACACAAAAGAAGAATATGCCAACCATATACGCGAAGCCATAGCAGAAGTATTATCAAAAAAAAGGGCAAAAAGGATGCAAAGGGCCTGACCGGGATTCGAACCCGGGGCCTGTCACATAACAGATACACTGTATCCAGGTAGAGAAACCCCTAGATGATTGTTAGGACGATGCTGGTTGGGTGTTGGTGGCGGCGGGGCAAGCTTACGAAGCGACAATCATACCACTAGACCATCAGGCCGATGCTCTTCATCTGATTTGATGGCAAATTTTGAGGCAGTACCGTTATTGACCTTGTTGAATTTCTATCAGAGATACAATCAGCTTGGCGGGGTTGATGTTGGGTAGGCGCTTGTGGTGGGGCATCCGTATGTTAGTCAGGGCAGTGGGACGTGCTATTCATGTTGACCAGCCTCACTTTACTTGTTTGGGTAGACCTTGCGACCTTCCAAGAATCCAGAAAATGTTGGTCGACAGGAACAGTCTGTGCCCACCGTGGTGCCGCCGGAGTTGAACTTCGATCCCATGGTCCCAACAAACACCCAATGGCCAGCAGTCGACACGCAAGTACACCTACTCGTACAGAACGACGACACGCAACCATGCAAGATACCATCATGCTGCCGTCATGATTAGGCCAGTTAGAAGCGCCGAAAAATGGCCGCTGTCGAACGTCTTGGTCGGGTGCTGCCATAGGCTGGTGGTAAGGGTGCAACTGCACGCCTCATTCGCGCCCCAAAGTGTCACACAAGGCTTGTGTCGACTAGGTGGAGAGCCGATCGTAGAGGCACAAGTCGTACACTGTGTGTGTGCATGGTTGCGGGAAGGAGCCGACATCGCTAGGCCTATGGCGATCCCCCCTGTTGACTGTGCGTCCAACAAGGCCCTACACCGACATTTTATAAGTACCATGATGAGGCGACAAGAGAGAGACGGCATTGCGGACGCAAGTCCGCATCTTGGGCGTTTTGAAGTATTTTCCCACCCCTCCATTTTTGATGCGAAACTCAGATGACATGTCGGTGACCTGAGATGGTTCGTGAGAAGCACGCGTTCGCTGCAACCCAAAAAAAGTGCGGGGAGACGTGCTGCGCATACTATAGTGGGGCGCGCCCATTGGCTCGGGAGTGCCCTTATGCCCCTTCCGCTCTAGCCCGTACCGCCCAGCTCCACTCGACATGCAGCCCATACAACACGCGCCTCGGAGTCCGTCGTTGCATCCCCGAACAATCCGCTCGTTATGAAGTGGACAAACTGAGGGGCTGTACTGAGTCGCCCGACAACACACTGACCGCCTTGGGCGAAGTAATCCAGAACCTCTGGGCCAAGAAAATCTGACCATGTGAGGCGATTTGGGCGAGGCTGAGCGGGTTAAAGGGCCAGCTTCCCCTCACCCATCGCGACCATCCTCTCAGCTGTCATTGTCATCCTACCTGTCAACGCCTGCCTGTACCTTACTGTCGGTTAGCCTGATAGCACTTGCATACCCCGAGAAACTCCGGGACGTGCTGACCTTTACCATCCCCCCTCCCAATCCTTATCTCTTCCCAATCTAGTCTCTGGGCTACGACCAAACCGTCTTCTTTCCGCTCTTACCAACCACTATATCTGTTGCTTCGCTCTCAATTGCGCTGCGCCTCCTACTCTCTTCTTTCCCTCTTCCACTACCATACCAAATCACATCACATCACCTCACAATGGCCGCATCAAAACCTAGCATTCGCGCCCTCAGTGCTCTTGCCGCGGGTCCCCGCCTTCTCGGTCCCCGCCTTACCGTCCGACAATTGTCCATGACTGGCTCGACATCATCTTCCTCCCTTCTCACAACCGACAAGCCATACGGCTCAAATCGCTCTCGCGGTCCAATTCGTCTTTCTGGCGAGCACTCGGCCGCTGTGTCTGAAGCCCCCGAGACGGCCAACAACGTCCGCCGCTTCAACACCTCCAGGAGTAGGAAGGCAGTTGGCGACAGCAGCACTCTAGACTTTGCCTACATTCCCGGCTTCGACCCGGAAACGAGGAGTGCGCCTCTGGGTATCAGGGTCCCCATCTTGCCATGGGCTGACGTCCAGGGTCACTCTGCCGAGAGCGAGGGTGTGGTATGTTTATCCCATTTCTACTAAATACATGAACATATAACTGACCTGAGATACGTGTAGGTGCCCATGCAACCCACCATCTACGCCGTCGGCAGTGACGGCACACATATCCACTCTCCCTCGGCCATGTCCGACACCACTGACAACAACTCGTTTGGCTACCAGAGCATCGCCAACAGCGTCGCCAGCAAATTCTCAGCTACCCGCCAAGAGGGCGAAGGTATGGCAAGGCAAATTTGGAATGACCTTGTAGACGACATCGTGGGTCCTAAACGTGGTTCCACCCGGGCTTGAGCCGGACTTGGGGGTTTGACATGCACATAAAAATTGCTTCTTTTTTTGTTACTTGATACTACGACATTCAAAAACAACTAAGTATGTGTATTTGTGTGTGTGCATGACACCCTCTATGTTCTCTACGGGTGACAATGACGGAGGATTGCCTTTTTGGGGGGGGAGGGGGATGGGCAAGTTTTTCAAACGGATCTGGCGCGAAGTGCTCGGGCATATGAGATCACGATATTACTACTACTTTAATTGAATTCTTTTTTTTTCCACTATTGGAAAAATAATTTGCAAGTCTTTTCTGACGTGTTCGTACGTGACGTGTCGACTTTTACCTTTGAATTGACTAATGTGTTGTCTGTTATGTCTTGTCTCATAACAGGGAACACTCCTGGAGTAGTAGACGCAGACACGGAAACTATCTTGACCGATATCATCACAAAACAAGGGCCTCCCGTGTCCTTGAAACGAGTGAGTTGTTCATGGTCCGGCAGGATTCAGGAATCGGACTCCGAATGACAACGAAATGCCCAGTTTGATGTTTTTTTTTGGATCAGGGGGGTTGGCCTGGTGGTCTCCACGCCGCTGGACGTATTCACGCAATTTCGAATCGTCATGTGAAGCTTTTGAATGAAATATCCCGATTCGTATAATCAATCGGCTTCCTTTATCGGGGTAAAAACAGTCACATTGGATTACGACAGAAAAGAAATATCCACATATTCGTCGCGGTATCACCGTCTCTATCTTCCACTCTTTTCACGGCCCTTCTACATGCATACATCGTGGTTTAGGCCTACTCCCGAATACCATACTACATAATGCTTCGAGGATCGCGGTATTCGTCCTTATTCGGTCTAATTCCGAGTTTCACAGTGCTGGAATTGGCAGTGTTGGTGTGTATGTATGTATGGAGAACTTGCCGGTGGCGATATTATCGGGATAATGTCAGAAACGCCCCGACAGTGGAGCCCGATGTGGGTATCTTTTTCTTAGCAAAGAAGAAACAGGCCGAGGGGAGGATTCTGTGGAGTAGGTTTTTTGGGTTATGTGGGTAATGGATGGATTGGGAGGGTAAGGGGGAAAGGGGAGTGGTAGGAAGTGACTGTGTGTAGTATCAAAGCGTGCAAGTGGAAGTTGCTAGCTGAACTCATAGTACGAAGATAGAACTACGTATCTAATTTCAACAGAAAAACCGTATCGTAAAGTTTGAGTGAAGTTGAGTGACGTGGGTCGGTGTTCGCTGGAAGGAGTAATTCAGTTTGTGGTATATGGTCGGACCAAAACAAGAATGGGAATGGTCCGTGTGTGACGATTATAAGAAGCCATCGAATTGATACGTTACTCTTCTGCTTTTCTCAGCGTCTCTGGGCACTACGAAATGTGTCGGATTCAAACATTTTGTAGCCTGCTTAAGAGTAGGAAGGAAATCTGTGTTACGTTGTAATTGAACTCAAATTCATTCTCATCCTGCGCGGCAGTGGATCAGAAAAGGATGCAGTAGAGGCGACCGAAATTTGAAAAGTGAATACATGAGATGGATGCTACAAATCAGTGTTTTTCATCTCAGCTCGACAACAATGAGTACCATGCCTTGCACTAAAGATGCGCGCGGCTATGGTGGGGTATCATGGTAGTCGGAGCATTGCGTCTGTAAGAGCTAGCTTCGGACGAAAGGACCCTACTAGCCAACAACCTATCACACAATTCGATCGGGAACGCAAGATCAACAATCCCATAAAATAACCTTCTGAACCCCGCAAAGAGAAAAAAAAGGCACCGTTAATCTTACTGCGATTCTCAATAGCCGCCTGGTGCTAATTGTAGGGTCTAGAGCCCACAGTTCCCACCCCCACACGAACGTCATTCGCTTCGTCTGAGGCCAAACAACCAAACACCTGGTGCCTTGCGCATAACTGCCACATTTCCACATTCCGCTTCGCGCACTCCACAATCGCATTCCTCCCTGTCGCGTATTTAAAGCGCCACTTGCTTCTTCTCTTCTTTCACCCCAAAACTAGCTACATAACAACGTACATGTCGCAATAAAAACATGGAAAAGCTCCGAGGCGCCGAAACCGCCGCGACGCAACGTCTCCGCAAAACATTCAAGTACCCCTCCGAATCCGACGACGAAGATGCCGTAGAAGCAGGAATGGACGGACAAGGCACTTACTTCCCCCATCCCACCCAAACACCAATGTATACTAACTGCAAACCGAACAAACAGACCGCGCAACCCTCCTCCAAACCCTAAGCGCACACGATACATCCACAACACACAAATACACGCTCTTCCTGCTCGTCCTACCTCTCCTCCCCATCCTGCTCTACATCCCCCGCTTGTTTTCCCTCTCCACATTCCTCCCCAGTCTCGCCGCGATAGCAAGTTTCCTCGCCTCAGCATACACACTGTACTTCCTACCGCTGCCACCCACAAAGGGGACGCCAATCGACGATGCGCGCAAAACGAAGAATGCAGCGGGAAAGAGTAAATCCAGGATCGGGATTTACGACAAGACGCCTAGCTGGGAGAAGACGGCGGAAAAGAGCGTGAGGAGGCCTGTGCCGTATATTTCTGAGAGCACGGCGGATGCGATTGCGGCGAATATCATGACGGTTAATCGGGCGGTGTGTGGAATCCTCGCTCTGTCTGAGGTCTGGATGGAACGAGACTGGAGCCAGGGGTTCATGGTGGGCGGAGGTTTCTTGCCCGGCCTCATTTGCTTCGTGGTATTGTGGGCGAGAACAGAGTTACGGATCATTGATATGGATGCGCTGGAGGAGCTGAACAATAAGGCTGCCGGGCAATCCAAAGCCAAGTAAAATAAAAAAAGGAATAATCTGGACATTTTTTCATCATGATAAAACAGAGATACCCCATGACGCAATGTAGTTCATGACAAATATCCCTAAGCAGAGAGACTTTCGTAGCTTTTGAAGAGAACCAAAAAAATGATGATATACACACTGCAAGAACGAGCGACCAACATCCCGACATACAGGAGGGGGGTCTAGGTATCATATGCGCAAGGAAAAAAAAACGCCGTCATCCAAGTCTAAGATCAGACCGTACCAACGCCATTCTGTTACCCAAATAACACATTGATACCTGCATTTACATGCTGACTTCTTTTGGTCATTAAAGCATCATACTCTTCCTCCTGCTGGCGGCCCTCTCGGCCCGTAAGGCGCTCGTCTCCCTTTCCCTGTCCCGCACTTTTGATTCGCCGGCATCATCACCCCTTGCCTTGGGGCCACTAACGCCAGCGCTGTCAGGGAGTCCACCTGCAACAGCGAGCTTTTTGTCCTTGATTTCTATCGTTCGAGCACTCGATGTACTCCTGGCCACACCGTTAGTACTCGAACTCCTTGCCAGGCTTGTAGTGCTGCTACTTTTTGTAGTCCCGCTCCCAGTACGCCTGTGGAGCGAAGGGAGTGCACCTTCCGTCTTTTCCCTCTCTGCTCTTCGCTCCTCAGATGCGGATGAAGCTCCTGGTGCAGGCATAGCGGAATGGCGACGCGCATTTCGGGCCGCTTTGGCGGCTTCGTTGACACGTGTGCGCTGACTAGTTACAGCTTCAGCAGGTGGAGAGTCCGTAAAGTCGAAAACGGCCAGGCTGTCCTTCTGCTGTGACTCTACCTTTACCGCAATCGTGTCTGTTGAAACAGGAGCATCTTCGGTTTTTGCTGCAGTTGACTCTGTGGCAGATCTTGAAGCTGTAGAAGCCATCTTCCTTTTTGCGGTGCTTGTTTCGTTGATTAGTGCGGATATCGCTTTCAAGGTCGCTGATTGTTCTTCTGGCTCAGCTGATGCTTTCGAATCCTGGTCTCTTCTGTCCAGTTTTTGTCTTAGCGGACTCCCCGCCTCAGCCTCTTCCTCGGCTGCTCTTACGGATACTGCAGACACGGGCTTCCAAGCAATCTCCCCGTTGGCTTCACGTTTGACAACCGTCGAAGGCGGGTTGTGAGATTCGACACTCGTCCGCCGATCAACCACTGCATCAACAAGCTTTGCATCTGGACGTCGCATCTTTACATTGAGGCTGGGCTCTTTGTAGCTAACTTGGGGACGTGCTCGTCTCCCTGGTCGCCCAGCTTGCCCAGTTTGATCGGCTGAAGAAAGATCACCAGGTGGTGGTGTATCTTTATTTTCTGGTCTTTGGGTCGAGGGTTCGGTTGATGGTGGAGAAATGATGGCATCTGCAGCTGGGGTCTTAGGGGGTAGGGAGTCCAGAATGATATCAGCGGTAGGGACGGGTTCTGATATGGGTATAGAAGGGAGATCTGGCGTGCTATTACGGGTAATGTTCAGTCGAGGACGGCTACGAGCTTTTGCGGTTGGCTTCTCCAACTTTCCAGGTTTTTCTTGGGCCGAAGAGCGTTGTTTTTTTGGCGATACGACTGGGTCGGTGTTGACAGGTTCTACAACGTTAGCTTTGCTCATAAAAAGGATAGCACTATGCTTACTGGCTGAAAGGACTGGAAGGCGATCCAAGGCGGGGAGTCTCGGTCCTTCATTGGATGTCTCAATTTCTGCAGCGTTCCGACGAGAAAACCTAAAGGCATCGCCCTTGGCTTGATTTGTATCCTCATCTTCCTGAACACTGAACTTGCGCTTAGCTCCCGTACGTAGAGGCTTCGCAGGTGCCTCTTCAGTTTCTTCTGGAGACTCAAATACGGATACACGGCGTATGCTGAGCTTCGGCCCACTCTCTCGTCGCTTCTTACGCGTCTCGAGATTGACCGAAAGCGACGGCTCGCCATCCTCGGCTGTCTCTTCTTGCGGCTCTTCTGCAACCGGGCTGGGATCAAACCCGATGGGATCCTCGTTCTCGAACCGCGATATGGGGGGTGGGCCAATATCTGGCGATTGGCTATCAGGGTCTTCCAGCACTTGCTGAAGCTCGTCCGCACTACACACGTTAGTAAAACTCAATGTGTAGATACATAACATCTACATACCCCATGGTCTTTCGAGGATAAAATTTGTCCTCCGTGATTGTAGGCAGCATTGCATTCTCAACTTCTTGTAGTCCCAACCCACTCCTCCACTGTCTTTCCTCTCCGCTTCTCCTCTTTGCTAGCAGCTGGCTTTTCCGCCTGCCTGCATCTTTTTCGCGTCCGTTCTTGGTCTGCGTTAGGCTTGCTACCAAGCCTCCAAGTTCCTGTAGCTTCGATTCAAGCTGCAGCTTGACAGCATCGATGTGGTCGAAAGCTGGACGCGACTCGACGGTATTATGAAGGCTAAGCACCTGCTCGCGCAGTGCCAAGTTTTCAGCGAGGAGTCGCGAGCAATCATTTTCGAGGCTGCGGATGCGTATGGATTGAGTCGAGTTTGTCTTTGCCAGTTCGCGGTTCTGTCTGAGGAAGCGTCGTTTCACGGCTTCGATGGTTTCCGCCGATGGCTGATTTGCTATCGGCGGCTCGTTGAGTCGCGCCATTTGCGCAGATAGGTATTTCGATGGTAATTATACTATTAGGAGACAATCGCGTCGTCGTCGTGGGTGGGAGGCTGTACGTCGTGAGTCGCGGCTGCTGGTTCGTCATACTGTTTGTTGACAACTCGAGCGGCGGGCCCACAGCAACAGAAACTAAGCCGAAATGGGCAAGACGAAAACACAGTCACATGACTGGAGGGGCAACGGCGCCTCTACATACAAGCAACGCATCGTCGACGACAGTGAGACTTGTGAAAGAGTCCAGACACACTCTTATAGAATTTCTGCCATAACTTGCAATCGAAGAAGAGAATCCCGTATATCTACACTTCAGGAACCCCAAATCGTAACAACATCTGCACACTTTTCGCAACAACAATATCGATAAAACACTACTGAACAAAGAATTGAACCCGATTCACTGATAAAATGTCGAATTTTGGGCGTCCTCTTCCTTCGCACCTGCGTAATCAGTCTTTGGGCGGCTCACAACAACAATCGCCGGTCTTACTCGCACGTATTGCGGAAAAGAAAGCCGAACTTGCGAACCTAAAAGACCTGCAAGCTCTTAGTGGAGGACTCGCGGATCAAATGCAGATGCTAGCTGACAAGCTCTCGACATTGTCTGATGGCACAGAAGGTATGTTCGAATTGAACCTGGCCGGATTTGCACATGCAGATGAGGGAAAAGCATCATGGAGAAGTCAGGCTGACATTGAGGCGCAGCGGTTGCAGCAGTACTGTCGAATTGGCACAACGTATTGAGGGCTATCAACATGGCCTCAAGTAAGTCATCATGTCGTATGTGTGATTCTATACTTGGTCTGACCAGTGAAAGCAAAACTGCCAAAGTCAAAGGATGAGGAGGAAGTAGAAAAGAAATCGGAAGATGGACCACCTCTGCCGCAGACACTTGTTCGCATTCCCACTCAGCACGCGCCCACGGTAATTGAGCAAGCCAACACAGCAAATGCAGAAGAGTGAATCCGCGTACGGGATGTAGACATGTGCTGGCACGGCGTCTCTGCGCTAAAGAATGTGGTGCGAAGGATGTGAAAGGAGGTGTGGTGAGGCATGAGTGCACGATCGGACTCGAGATGAGACTGATGTCCGATTCGCGGAACACGGCATATGAGGGTGGTCGAGCAATGTTCCAATACGTGCATATGCAGTCGAGCCCAACATCCATTAAGATTGCTTTTCCCGCTGGTATGCTGGAAGCGAGCTAAGTCACAGGACCTGACATGCGTAAAGGGCAAAAAAGGACGTCACTGCCAAGGTAGGAAAAAGGAAGAAGCAGAAATGGTGGAGGCCTGAAACACAAGCTATTGTAAATTGTTTGCGAGCTTACATATGAGATTCTAAAGTGCTTGAAATTCACTGGCAAGTATAGGCCTTGTTACATAACGCCGTGATGCGTCTACAATCTAGCATCCAAGTTTTACAGACTTCCAAGTCCAATGTCCCATGCTATGCAATAACGCAGTCTCAATCAGATTATACCGATCGGACATGCCAAAACTCCGCGCGAAAACAAACCCCGCAGAAACAATGAAAATCGTGTTCAGTTCGTATGCGCCGAAGCCAGGTGCAGCACCGTGAGCGCATCAATTGAGGCGCTGTAACAGTCTACTTCTTCTGCTTCGGCATCTTTTCGTAAGCATTCGGGCTGGGCTTCCTCCGCTGCCTCTTTGTTTTTTGTGGCTGGCCCGAGCCCTCATTACATCCACGATTTTCTGCGCATCCGTCGTGGTCGTGCTGGTGCGGCCGCCTTCCCCGCGCGGCACCAATCCTGCCGGCGGGCCTGGCGGTACTGTTGTCAGGTTCGGAATCTGAGTCCGAGTCTGATGAAGAGGAATCTGAAGAGTCGTCGTCGGAAGACTCATCCACAGCGCGAGGTTTGTGATAGATGCAACAGACTTGTTCAGATGTTAGCGGGTCTAGTAGCAAAAATGACGTGGCGCAGCTTGCAGTACCTTTGGACGACTTCTTGCCCATGCCTTCGTTGTCAACCACATCCTCTGCCCACTGGATATGTCGTCGCTCGGTGGGCTCTGCTCGCAGACGGAGCACGCCTGATGGAGCAGACAGGCGCAGGACGGGCTGAGGACGGATCTGTATTGTCCTGCTTCCAGCGCTTGGTGTCACAGTACGCGGTGAGGTAGTATGTTGGTGGGCGGCCATGTTGCTGAAGTGCGCAATGTTGAGTTGAAAGTGAATATGGGGAACGTGACCCTCGAAGAAGCGGTGTTGCGGGCAGCAGGCGGGGTGATTGTTATGGAGCTACGCAGGGACCAAAAGGAATCGCGAATTGCCGTGTTGAGGATGAAAGGCTGACGGGGTTCAACGTCGATATTTGAGCAAAGAATCGGCGATGGGATCCAGGGATGAGGCGACGAGTAAAGAAGGAAGGGGTGCGGTTTGGTATTATCGGTACCAGGTCAAGGTCGTGTGCATGTACGTCTTCGCTGGCTGACGATGATTTGCCTCGTGATAGTAGAAGGCTGGTTGGTGCGTCATTAGCAATCGGCACCTCTTTCGGCTCATCCTTCCCTCTGCGCATCCGGGGATTGGCCCACGATCGCCCGCGTCACCCTACCATCGTCTTCTCCACGAGAGTGCAGCATGCACGCCAACCGGAGCCCACACGAGCCCACACCTTCATCTAGGTCACGTTGCATATTCATGGCAGCAGCGCATCTCCTAGCCTGCGCACTCGGCACGCTTACGCTGCACGCAATAGCGCTGCGAGAACACCTTGCCGAAGCGCTGTCAGGGCCAAAAAGATTCATCGGTGCGGTGCTATCGTGGCCGCTGCCCACGCAAATAATTCGGGCCAATGCAAAGCAAGGCTGGTCGCAGGGCCTGGGTCAAAGTCACCGGAACCGTTGAATGTCGACATGGCCCAGAACGTCAGTCTGTAAACGTCACAATGGAAAGGTGCTGGCGGGGTTCCACCTAGAACACGTCCTGTTCTCGACCGAGTATAAGTAAGAAGCAGCACCAATCATTCCAAATGGATTTTGCTCCCTCCCCTTGGAACATGACGATGCACAATGCCAGATCTCTGACTTCGCAACGCGACCAATGCCACTCGGTACCGGATGACCGGATGACCGGACATTCACCCCACAATATGCCACATGAACACCGGCATAACGACGTATTTGGCTGGGACGAGACCTTTGCACCAAAATCTATAGCCGAGACCTCGCAATGTCGAGCGCTCTGTGTTGGCGATGCAAGTAGAACTTCACAAGTAGGTCAATGCCAATGAGGCTGCTACAAACACATACGCATAAAACCGATCTTCATAGTACATGCGCACAATGGATACAAGAGCTAGTGCCATCAAAGTTCATATTCCACCGCATTGGCTTGTATATGTAAAGATTCGGTGTTTGCCAAGCCGACTCGCACAGTGCAGCCGGTGAGCGTCTCCACCTACTATGTACAACCAGGGCGACGCCCTGACCTCGAAGCCTTTGGACACTCAGGAGGTGGCTTTGCTTCATCTCGTGGCACCCCAGGGCCTGGATGCACTACCCCTCGACCCACGATGCATATGAAGATACAAAGCCCTGTCCTGTTGGCCGTATAAACCTTGAACGTTGGGTGTACAGATACGTAGACGCGGGAACCCGCGCAATGCCTGGGATTATCACGCCCATGAGCCATCAAAAAGAGCCAAACACACGGCAGTATAACACCGAGATGCACTGGTGGCATGGTGGTGAGGGAGAAAAAAAAATCAGATTGAAAGGTTCAGGGGGCATAAATGGACACGGTAAATAAGTACTGGTGCTTGTGCCAATACTCGGACAATGGCGAGGGTCCCCCAGCATCAACAATGACCTCAGCCCATGGGAAAGGCTCTGTACAAGCGAAGAGTCGAACCATGATGAAGGAAGCCTTGTTATGCTGGGAGCCATGAGCGGATCAAACGGGAGGAGCCTAAGTATGGGAGCTGTCAAAGAACAAGTAATTTCACAGATATGAAGGGATGCTGCACGGCGATCATGGGTGGCGGTGAGCGAGATGAACGGCTCCTTGGGCAGCTCACCAGCCTCAACAGTCGTCTGGCGCAGGCGAGTAGTGCAAAAGGCGCCATGAGTCGTTGATAGTACAAAAGCTTCTGGACAGTAGGGCTTGGACGCGTCATTGTGAACAGGCAGAAGGGGGTGGCATTGCCATATACTACATAGGCGGGTGGAATAGCAGGCACAATCTTGATGGGCGGACTACTGATAAGCGGCATCGGGGGTAGCCCGAAAGCAGCGGACGACTCCACCACATGTTGTGCAGTACGTATCTGTGCGCCCGGCCGCTTTTTGAGCGGAAATGAAGAGAGCGTGGAGCGCCGTAGCCTAGGCCGGCGTGGGCTCTGCCGGGCCGTGGGAAAAGGAGTGGAACATATTTTCACGGAGGCGGGGGTGGTGGTGGTGGTGGTGTCGGTGGTGGCGGAGAGGCAGGCAAAAAATGGAACAGCAGAGCGGACCAAGGCAGAGAGAGGGAGAAGGTAATAAGCATTTCGTCCGCTAATGGGTGCAACGATGACAGTGCTATTCACAGCGAGGGCGGATCCAGAATTGGGGTTCAGGGGGCTGTGGACGGGTCGAGTGGTGCTGTATGGTCTGGAGCGGACAAGGCCAGTCCTAGTCGCCAATCTGCTGTTCTCGGATGCTGGCGAATCAACGTAGGCGTCTAAAAGGGTTCCTGCATTAGCAGGGCCGCATCGGGCGTAGAGGCGCCACAGGGAGCGATCAGCATCCAGCCAGAACAAACGGTCGCGGCGGTTTTCTCCTGGATGCGCTTAGGGGTGTGCGGTGCGAGAAGGCCGCCTGCCACCCGTACGACGACGGCTTCTATCGATTGCGACGAGGCGAACACAACAGAGGCAGCGCGCGCAGTGGCCGTGCCGCGCGAGAGCGGTTGTGTAGCATGCAATTAGCAACATCAAACAGCTTGGCCCGCGCTAGAACAAGAACCCTGCGCTGTCCCTCTCGTTATTCGGCTTAACAGGTCCTGTCCCCTGCACGGCTTGGGACATGGGCCAATGAGGCTCCCTGTATGCCACCGCCCACCATCGAGCTCCTGTGCGGCGCCTCATCTACTCTTCGCGCCCATCCGCCTTCTCTCCTTCAACCTCACCTCTCCGTGGGCCAGTCACTCTTTCAGTCCTCGTACTCTCCCTCTACACCAACGCTCGCTGCTCCGTTGCACCTTACCCCAGTCATTCTTTTTTCTTTTTTGGGCGCGAGATCGTTTGGTCGTATCGCCTTCGCCTACTGCCGTGCTTTCGCTCCCTACCCGCACCCACACCCGCATTACATGTACACTCCGTTGATCAGCAGTCACGACTGACTTACGACCTTACGTTGTTAATACATACATCTTAAATCTCAAAAACTACCTCGCATCCGCGAACCCGTCACGCATCGCCATCCGCTCGGGCACATCATTACCATTCCTGGTTACGATATTGTATGAGACAGGGGTTTTGCAACCATGCCGCACTCACATCACCAACACATGCTCCACCATGTGCGCGACAACACACACCATTTGGGCTCTCCCGCCAGCGCAGCTACCCGAACTCTCCAACTCGTTGAAAGAGCGAACCCCGTTCTTGTCGCACGCGAAACCATCGAATGCACAAGCAGCAGCGAGCCCGGTTGCACAAAGCCAACCCAAGTGCCTATGCTTGCTATCGCATTAGCTATTGTGTATGTGATGCACTATCATTCAGCCGACTCCGCTAACCATGCCTAGTGTTCCTGTTGTTGGTATCGCTGTTGTACTTGCCTTCTTACATCGTCGCAACAAGCAAAAGCTTAGGGAGGAGGATCAGCGAGACAAATACAAGTCGCACGATTGGGGTATGGAAGGCGTCACACCCAAGGCGGGTAAAAAGGGCGGCCCTGAAATGAGCATTTCTGAGAAGGAAATCTCTGGAGGTCATGACCGCGGTCTGTCAATTGAAACTGGAAGCCCATACATCCTGCCTCCTGGTCTACACGGCTCTCGCGAATCGTTCCACTCGCTTTCGCGCTCGCAGCACGACCCCCATGACCCCTACGGCCCAGTCGCCTTCTTGAGGGATGACCAGAGCCTCCGCAGTCAAAGCCATGGACCATACAAGGGCGAAACCAACTCCGTGTACACTGCGTCCAGCTCAGGAACAAAGAAGGAAGGCCTTCAGGCTGGTCTCCTCCAGAACGCGCAAAGAATGTCGACATCTGCCCCAGTCCGCGGCGAGTCGCTATCTCCTGATAGCACCAGGTCACCAGATAGCAAGTTTCCCGAGGCAGGAATTCCCCTGAGCCCGTTGAACCCGCGATATGAACCTGAAGCCCCGGCTGCTGCTCCTGCTCCCGCCCCTGCCCATGCTGTTCCCGTCGCCTCCAAGCCTACCAACGTCCCGACCATCTCTATCCCTGAACCTCCCGTCACCGAGAAGCAAGTCAACAAGTCGCCTGTCCAGACCACGAACGAGATTCCCTCATTTCCCCGTATCCAGTCGCAAGCCGTTGTTCTAGAAACTGCCAACACACACCACAGCATCATCAGCACTTCCAGCTACGGCGATGGTTTCGAGATCACACCGCCTTCTCCTCGCAACAGCAACCAGCCAACGATTGCAGCGCCCAAGCCCCGATACTCGACTGGCCCACAGAACCTTGGCCTCGGAGTCGATGACTTTGGTCACAGCAATAACCGTCTGTCAATGAGCCTGCGTCCTATGCCTTCTGAAGACCCCATGGAGAACCCAGAAGAGCGTGCCAACCGTATCCGATCTTTCTACAAGGAATACTTTGACGACTCCAAGCCCGAACCCGCTGGTGGACACCAATACACCGACTACGTCGAGGACTATGGTTCTGAATACCAGGATGGTACTGTGTTTGACCCACGCACTGGTAACTTCATCGTTGCCCAGCCCAACGCGCCGTTTGCTGAGCCGATCACTCGTCGTGCCATGACTCCTCCACCTCGCGCACCTCCTCGATTCCGAAGCAACACAGCTACCGGTCCACGTGGTCCTCATATTTCCAACGGCTCTATGGCTTCATCGCACTACCAACCTCCTCGTGGCATGTCGTCGATGAGCGGTCGTCTACCTCCACCGATGAAGAAGCCTCTGCCGCCACCTCAAGCCCTCTCGTCATTGCCAACCCCTGCCAAGCTCAACGAGAACTCGATGGTGTTTGATGCTGCGGACTTTGCACCACCAGTTTCGTTCCGTGAGAGGCAAAACGGCATGCGACCAGACAGTCCTCTTGGTAACGCAAGGCCGTACAGCCCTTCTGTGCGCCCCCACACGCCCCTCGTCGGTTCCTATGATGAGCTCCCAGTGCTGCCCAGTCCCCATCTGATGCGCAAGTCTGGTACCTTTACTGCCCTTGACTTTGCACCGCCTGGTCGTATCCGCGACCCTGCTGGTGCTGGCTCGGATGCCGGATCTATCCGCTCGAACCGCTCTGGCATTTCGGCCGCTGGCCGATTTGCAGTGCGCAGTGGAGCCAACCGCGTCAGCAGGATACCGCGAGAAATCATGGGTACCAAAGATGACATTGCTCTGCAACTAAGGCCCAGGATGAACTTGGTCGAGAGTGCCTAAAGACGTGGCGACCTTGCCGCAGGGCATTGTTGATGACTGACATTGAGCAGCTCGCTGGAAGAGCTTTGGGCCCCGTTGCCTGTACCAAACGCCAAAAGCTTGTTACGTCAAGTTTCTTTTTTGTTTGGACAGTATGCCATTTTGGGCGTACATGACAATTCTTATCGGTATCGTGGGACAAATATAGCGTGCGCTGGCTATACACACAGTGTCGTCTCCCAGTCTTTGTTGCTACAAGAGACATGCAAGCCTCTTTTGTTTACTATTTCTCTATCGCGGTCACTGCCAGACCGGCAGATTATACTCCTTTTCTAGGGCAATTCAGCGAGGGAACCGGCGTTACCAATGTCTAATTTATATTCTTGTAAGCAGCAGTTGGGGAGAAGAGGGTTGGAGCAAGTGGTGGCTTGGTGACTGACAGCATGGTGGCCAAGACTGTGTGTCGATGTGTGAAATATTCGAGCAAAACATATAGAGGAATGGAAAGCAAGAGGTATTTGAAAAAAAACAAGGATCCGCACTGGTTTGTTTGCTATTGAGTGATGTGTGAAGTGTATTGAGAGTACACGACAATGATGTGGGTGATGTATTGTGTTTTTTGGTTGAGTGGATGCCATGCTGGGCTGTGGAGGGCCAAGGTCGGCAGCGTTTCTGGCCCCTGTTGTGTCACTCTCCGCGGCCTTGACGAGGCTGACGATCAACGCGGCTCTGCGCCAGTGCCAGTTTTACAGGCCACCTGCAGACTCTATTTGCACTGCATCCTGTTTTGCGTGTGGCTGCAGACACAGCCACAAAAGAGCCGCCTTTGTTTTATTGTTTGCTCGTATATATATATGTATGTATGTACGTATATGTTACTCGGGGCCAATACCAGGGCAACCGGAGGAGCCAGCCGCGTGTACACAGTACTTGCATACGCGGCCGGGGAAGGCCACGACAGTGCTAAACCGGTGTCGACGCCGGTGCTTCAGCTGGACGTCGTGTCGTGTCGAGACCAGTGCATCCATTCTCTTGTCGAGCCCCCAACCATGACGCCTGTGTGGCTCGCGCCTGCGTCTAGTTCTGTTTTTGGCGCCTTGTACGTCATGGCTTAAGATCTTCGGAAAGGGTCCATAAAACTCGCCAGTGCTGCTGCAGCACGCGCGTATGAGGTTGTGTCTGGTCCTGGCCTGTTTTCTCTTGGGCCTTCTTATTGGGCTTCGCTATACTTGACCGCTTCGTTTCACCATATCTTCCCATTCTCATCGTTTGAGTTTGCATTGTTTCGTCGTGCTTCTGGTTCTCCCTCTTGCAATCAACCACTCTCACACTACACGCGCCACACCCGTCCGCCACACCTGCTGCACCCTTCCATCGCCATGCCATTCTTCTCTCGCAACCGCGCGTCGGAGAATACAACGGCCACGCCTGTCCCCGAACTTAGCAAAGAGCAAATCAAGCTCGCAACCCGCCGTCGCAAAAGATGGGCGCTGGCAACCTCCTTTTTCCTCTTCCTCACCTTCATCTTCCTGGTCCTCGTCAATATCGCCGGCGTACGCAACAAGCCCGTTATCAGAAATTGGTACTTTATTCGACTCGATCTGAGTAAAATCGTACCCGCTAGCGTGCCCAATTTCGCCCTCATCAACACTATCGCCCAAACGCTGGGTCTTCATGATTTCTACCAAGTCGGATTATGGGGCTTCTGCTCGGGGTACAAGGGCCAGGGCGTGACCTTTTGCAGCAAGCCGACAACCCTGTATTGGTTCAACCCCGTCGAGATTCTGCGTAATGAGCTGCTTGCGGGAGCGTCGAGTAAGTTGGCCTACATCGTTGCGAGTCCGGCTGCGAACTAACCATGTTCACTAGTCAACCTTCCTGCAAACATCAACGACATCTTGGACCTGATCCACCTCGTCTCCAACTGGATGTTTGGTCTCTTCCTTACCGCCACTGTCCTCTCTTTCGTCCTCATCTTCGTCATGCCCATCTCCGTCTACACACGCTGGCTCACCCTCCCTGTCGCCATTCTCGCCTTCCTCAACGCCCTTTTCGTCACCGTCGCGTCGGTCATCGCTACCGTCATGTTTGTCATCTTTCACAACACTATCACTGGCGTGTCAGAGCTCAACATTGGGGCGGATATTGGGACAACGCTATTCGCCTTCATGTGGGTGGCCAGCGCCTTTGCGATTTTCGCATGGCTTGTGCAGACGGGGCTTTGCTGCTGTTGCGCGTCAAGACGAGACGTCAAGAAGGGCAAGAAGAGAGGTAACGAAGAGGCTTATCAGATGGACGCTGCTCCGGTAACCGAAAAAGCACCAAAGAAGAAATATGAGTTTTGGAAGCGTGGATAAAATCCTCTTCTCTACTCAACCATTATTGTGGACGACCATTCTCCTACCAACATTACTATCATACAAATAGATACACGGACAAGGATATTGTCACCGAAAAGAAAAGACCAGGCGTAGATCATAGCCATTTTTTCAACTGGGTCATTGATGACCAGTAATTTGGACCCCCAAAACATTGGGGTTCTTTTATTTTTTCTTTTAACGAGCGCGGCGTTGGGTTTTCTTGGGCAAATCTTTCTGACATGGCAATACATAGTGCGGCGCAACATGGGCGGTTTTGCATGTGAGCATGACACACACATCCCAGCATGAACATGTCTCTACTGTAGACATATACGGACTTATATATGCAAAAAAAAGCATAATGATATCTCTGACTTGACAACAATCTTCATCCTAATCGTTTCGCCCACCTGTCTTTGGATTTTTCCGGTTAAAATCCCTGAGAAACGGCAATCAATCATTCAGTTCAACACATCACTCAGCGCAAGCCGTCAACATCACTGCAAGTGCAAAAGAAGCATTGTTGTTTATACTCCATTCTCCCCGCTCTCTACATAGTCCCTTTCCCTTGTCTAACTCGCCCCCTCTACCTCTCCCTATCCTCATACCAATCCCTCTCGCCCTTGTGCCCCCCAAACACCCTCCTAAACCCCTTGGCCACCGCACCCGTAACGCTAAAATCATTGAAAAGCCACTGATTCCCATGGCGCCCATAGTACTTGAACTGCGCCGGCTCCTCTCTTTCCTTCCTTCCGCTGCTACTACTGCTGCTGGTACCGCTCTCCATGGTGTGTCTGCGACTCCGCTTGGGGACCCGCGGCTTGCTGAAGTCGCCAGGGGCGATGCCCACGCTTTCCGGGTGCAGTCTGCTGCTGGGTGAGGCGTACAGGCGCGACGAGGTGCTCGAAGTGTGCGAGTCAAAGGTGGAGATTGTCGAGGATTTGGTAAAAGGGCGCGTGTTAGTGCTATCGATGGAGGGTCGGGGACGTCCCTGGGTTGCTCCATGTTCGATGCTTGAGGTGTTGTTGGTGTTTGCGATGACAGCGAGGCGGGAGTGCAGGGCTCGCGCGTCGATGGGTTGGTGGTGCGAGGAGTCTGTCATCGGCAGGTATGTTGGAGATTTTGTGGAAAAGGTGGTTGCGGTGTGGACTTGGGGGATGTGGGAGTGTGGTTGATTGGTGTCACAGTAGTAGTCGTGGTGGTTGTCTCGAGAAGGTACGTAGTATTCTTCTACTTCTGATGATGATGATGATGATGATGATGATGAAGTAGAGTAGATGCTAGTAGTTAGATAGTATAGCATAGATGATGTGTAAGATAATTTACTCGGAAAGAAATCTCCTGATATCAGGGCATCACTCAAGCTATATATGCTCCATCCATCCCCATCCGCCAAGCTGCAGTATCGTCCTTCATCGTACGCAAGAAGCACAAACCCTACCGCATCCAAGCGTCTTGGGGTGGGGAAATGCAAGCAAAGAAAGGACTTAGCTCACCGGGTTTCCACACAACGTACATGACTTACATGTAACCGTTCATTCCTCCTTGTCTAATCCAACCACACGCGGTATCCCGCACCCACAATCCACTTCAACCCCTGCCCACGGGTTCCGCAGACGCAGCTGCAAACAATTTGATCAGGTCGGGTAGACCGCAACACGAGACCACATGACCATGTTTTCGCCCTCAGTGTGCAATGAGATACTGCAAATCTGCCTCACTGGGTCAAACCGGCAAACCGGCAGCACAATCCTTGCTCGGGACGATAGCCCGTGCACCAGCCACAAGTACGCCACACCCAATCCGGGGCAGCGAACGGGCCTGAGGGATGCAAGGCCGCGAGGCGTCAACTGCAGCAATGACATCAACCCGCCCTTTTGCGTCTACGCGCGTATCCTACAAACTTTTGCGCCTTCCGTGTTTGCCGGCTAGACCGCCAACAGGACTAGCTGTGGCTTGTGAGTGTATACGCCAAGATACACTCAGCGGGTCTGAATGACGTGGCTTGAATGCGGGAAACAAGAGGCTCGGGGTCGGATGTGCAAAGCCACATGAGGCTCATTTGCACATTGTGGGCACCCTGAAGAAAAGTCTAGATGATCCAAGCTTAGGGTGGAGGGAGATATAGTGGAGACGGCCGATGCCTTGTGGGTAGATAGCTATCAAAAAAAACATCGCTGCGTTGGTCTCTACATAGGGAGAAAGCAAAAAGCCGGATGGGTATACCGATATCAAAACACCTTTGAGCGCCGCGCATTGAACTTTTTACGACTCAATCAAACACCCGGGACACCATCCTTACTTCGTATCCGACCATCTTTGACTGACCCTATTGTGATGCCTGCCTCACCAGTCATCCAGCCCGGCATCTTCTCGCCGTCTACAATGCCTTCTTCGACTAATTGCCTCATGCCGGCAAAGACATGGGTGCCTTGAAACGTAATCCGCACATTGGGTACCCATCCTTCCTCATTCCCAATCTCCTCTAGGTCTTCTTCGGTTCTCTCAAGGAGCGAAGGACGACCACGCCGTGTGCGATTTGCTACCTGAACTCTGCGATTGGGTGTTTCGTTGTCAACCTGTGCACTGCCGTCATTCTTTGAAATAGCTGGGAACGGGTCGTCAATCCGAACTTCGACTCGTTCAAGACCTTGCCCATCGTCTGGTTGGGCAGAGGTACCAAACCGGCCAGCAGCCACTTCTTTCCGCCGCTTGGACTCTGGAGGCTCCTTCTCGTCCAATGGTCTTTTGGGTCTTCCTGGGACGGCCTTATCCGCATTGGCCTTGTCACCTGAAGACTTGTCTTGCTTGTCACCTTTTTGCGTAGTGATAAAGTCTAGAGCATTTTGACTAAAACTATGATCCTGAAAGATGCTCCAACCACCTGCTGCAGCATTGCTTTTACCAGGCCCACGATATGTCAATAGTGCGTCGAGCGACTTGGTTGTGAAATTGGTGCCGGTTAATTGGTAGCGCGCCGAAGGTCTTGAAAAGGCTTTGGGTATTGCCTGCTGTACAATCTCTCTAAGATGCCGCCCATCGTCACCAACGACCTGGCCAGTAAGTGTTGCCAGTGACGAGTATACAAAAGGTGAGCCATTAGGCCAGACGAAGAAGACGGCTTTGGCATGGTCGGTATTACTAGATTCAACAGCCAGCGATGCCTCGTTGCTATACGGAGAATCGTGTATATAGACCCGAAGTATTGTCATGGGCGACGTCTTTATCCGTGTGATAAGGTAGTGGGCTTTCATTAGCGGAATTAGTTCTCTCGCGAGATTCGACATGAAAGTTTGCGCTTGGAACCGGGGAAGGTGGTCAGAGTCGTTTGTGACCTCCATGTCTGTCACTGGCGATCGCGCATTCGGTATCTTTGTGAGGCGCTTCGCTGTCCAGCGCAGGGCATTGGGGTGGTCGAGCAGGTACTGTATCTCTGCTGTGGCCAGTTGGTACATGGATATACCGTGTCTCCAATCTCCCTCGAGTATGCGATCCAGGACCTCTCTCCTGCCACCTTTGCGTGCAGCCAGCTGCTTGTAGATCTCCTGGAGCACCTCATAGCTTTGCGCCGGCTCATATATCTCCTCTTCATCTTCTTCTGCCCGATCGTCCAGAAGAAAAGGCTGGCAAAAGTCACGGTTCTTTTTACTGAGCCATTGTAGTGCGAGCGATATGAGCGATTGGCGGGAGAGCTTGGTGAAGGTGCGCTGGACTTCGCGGTGATTTACGGGTAGACGGTGCGAATGCGGGATATTCTTGTAGTCCGGGGCGGCAGCCATTGCATATGTGCTTTTCTCGTCGGCATGGGAGGGGTCAGGATTGTTGTTGATGGTAGAAGCGTTTATCGATAATATCCAGGGAGGGAGTCGCGCTCAGGCGGTCAGACGCGTTAACCCTGTTGCCACGTGACGTCTTCGGTTGTGTGTAAGAACGTACACAAGTAGTGCCATACTTACACCAACGCACTTTGAAGAGAACAAGTGTCTGTAATTGTTTGAAGGTCCGAGCTGAGATGCAAACATACATTTTGATTATCTGCATACGCCCCCATGCTGCAAGAACACATTATGAAGCGTATAAAGCAGCTCTCAAGTATGTGGTTTTGACCACAACCAGAATAATCAAACTACGTACTCACTCTATCATCTCTTTGCTACTACGTACTGTAAATTTGAAACGCTGCTGGGGTTCAAGCGCTTTTGCCAAAATTTGTACCTTGCTGATTTTAGATAATCATGTAGCGTAACAGCCGTGTGGCAAGCGCTTTGTACTAACACGCAACGTACTACTACAAAAGCAGTATGTATATACGACGTTAGCCCCGCATCAGCTCCAAGCTGACCAATACGTTTTACTACTGCAGAACAATGGGTTACTTTCCAGAAGCGTGAGTGAAAACAAGCCTAACGCATTACCTAGCCGTCATAATGACCCGATCCAGACCGCGAGTATTGCTATGGACATGTGCAATTCGAAGAGTCCCATCATCTTGACTCCCCTACGATATGTAGGTGTAGTACATGCTCCTAAATAATGTGCTCAAACTTTGTCACTTATCCGGTAGTTCTTCGGTGTGGCGGGCGTATAAGTGATCATTTCTACCCTTTTTTTTTACCACTTTTGCAATGTGTGCAAGGGTCCAGGGTGATGCCGCTGCTGCATGTGAATCTGCCGATGGATCACCGCCGTGAATCGATGGAGAGAAATCGGGCGGAACCGAGTGGCCGCCTGATCAGTAGGCGGTTAGCGTGATGGTCGTTGATTACAAACTAACAGCTCTGAGTAATCCAAAAGTCAACGAAAGGGCGCAAAGGGCAGCATAAGCCTGTTGGTTTGAGAATATGACATGACCTCGCAAAGCGTGAAAAGAGAGAGTTCCTCCGTCGCATACATGTGTCTTTTAGGCTTGGATATACGAACGTCGCGATTAATTCCGAGGTGTGGTGCTCCAACCTGCACGTGGGGAGGTTCTCTCGGCCATACTCCGGCTGCGCCCATTTTTCCAACCGCCGAACACAGTAACTAGGAATTGCTCCGCGGGGGGTGTGGAGGTTCTCTAACGCCCTGCGTATTTCGGCAATCGTCAAACGTCACCACTACTCTCTCACATACACAGCCCTCTCTTTTCATTTTGCGCAACTCTCGGAGTTTCTTGTGGAAACTCTTGCATCCATCGAGAACCAGCGGGTCACTGCAAAGAACACCATCCCAAGGCCGCCCAATTTCGCACAAAGCGGAGCCAAAAGCGCAATCGGACCCGCTATCCCTCAACACGGGTTTGGCCGTCGAAAACCCCCTCCGAAGCCCACCCCTAGTTGCACCGATCATAGACTCTACCAACTTCATCCTCCCCATCTTTATTTCGACTGGAAACACCACAAAACGCTCATGTCATCCTACAAGGGGCAGCGAGGGCCCAACGTGTCCCAGTACATCGCGACGCTCAACCAGCCATCGCCCCAGCAGGACCTGCTCGCCGATCCAGCGCCAGTGGAGGACTTCTCTGACTTCCTCAACGCCGACTTCTTTGACGTCAGCAACGCCCGCCACGCCAGCGTCGACTTCGGAAACGCAGGCAACTTCGATATCAATTTCGACAACCAGCCATCACAGCCGTTGAAGAGTCCCGAGGGATTCCAGCCCGCCACGAGCGCAAACATGGATTTCAACTTGAACGGTAAGTGTGTCTTGTTGCTATTGTTCACCTTGTCATTTTCTGTCGCAATGGGCTGGACCTTCGTCGAGGAAGGGTCGCTGCAGCTGCCATATATTGGTCTGCAACACGCCGTCCAATGGCAGGCTACAGAGACACAAGCCGACCCCAACCCCGCCATGCTGTGTTGCCTGCATTGTTACCCCCACACTATGCAAATTAACCAGTCAGCGGACGGCGTCTCTATGCAGCCCTGCTGCTAAGCATGATCTCAAGCACGCAACACTGCCTGGGCTGCGTGAGACGGATGATTTACCTTGCGCCCTCCACACGCCACCTTGTGGTCTGTCTTGTTGAGCCATGACTGACCTCGATCTGCTTGTAGGCGACTTCCCCTTCACCGACTTCAACAGCTTCCCTACCAATGCTGCCTTTGATCCAGCCCTGCCGCTGGCACACGGTCAGCCCAACCACTACCCGCTGGCCCCAGACTTCGCCTCACCCAACTCGTCACTGTCACCAATTACACCAGGCTACGATCAAGCATCCAAGAAGCGCAAACTCGATAATGTCCCGCCCGTGATTCCACATTCGCTCGACGAGAACGCTCGCATCGCCGCAGAAGAAGACAAGCGTCGCCGCAACACAGCTGCAAGCGCCCGCTTCCGCATCAAGAAGAAGCAGCGTGAGCAGGCTCTCGAGCAGTCGCAGAAGGAGGCACAGGAGAAGGTGGCCAAGCTCGAAGCCACGATCGAGCAGCTGCAGACGGAGAATGCGTGGTTGAAGAGCCTTATTACGGAGAAGAGCGGTGGCAAGAGCACAACGGAAGAGATCAAGGCGCTCATGAACAAGCGGGAGCAGGCGGCAAGCGGACGGAGTAGCTCTGCGCACACAGACGGCGTGGGAACACAAGCCAAGAGCCCAAAGGCGGAGGTCTAAACTATTCGATGATACCTAGTTGGTTGTGATTGCTTTTTTTTGTTTCTCTTGTCATTGATCCTGTTTGGCACGTGAGTGCTTTGATATACCTCTTTGATTGTGCCTGGGTAGCTGATGTTATTGTGTATGTGTATGGGTTGCACTGCACTTCCATAGGCTGGGATGGGTGGGGATGATGGATTTTGGGTGCGGGATGCATGTGGCCATGATGATGTTGATGCGGACGAAGGAACGAGAAGATGACTATTTACACACAAATACATACCATGTTCAAACACTCGACGCACGTCATTCATGCAGGTGCCCGCTGGGCTCCACTTGAACACGCACGGTATGACACAACACGACACGGTACGGTACGAGGGGGTCGGTACGAGAGGGTCTGTTATTGGACTGTGCAGCACGAGGTAGAGCCACGGACTGTTCACTATAAAGGCACGGACAATCAAAAGGTAATAGGTATCAATTTCGCTGCCTTGAGCTTTTCAACGCCACTAGCCATGAAGAAAAGCAGAAGTAGAAGGAAACAGCACTCGGACAGCGTATCCAAGTCAGGCAGCCAGCCAGCAACTTCATCCACCCCCTGTTTTTTGCGACAGCCGGTGACTCCAGCAAAGTTCATCTTCCGCTGGGAAAATGCAACCTCGCCCACCGATTCCTGCCATGACGCTTTCTAAGGGTTGCTTTCTAGATGGCAATCCAGGTAATGGTGATGACAATGTCCATTCCCTTGCTGTCGGCAGCCTCCCACTTGTACGTGTATGTTCCGTCCTTCTCGTTGTTCCAGAAGGCACCAACAGCACTGTGCATGCCACGGCGGCCCTGCTTCTCAATCTCTGCGGGCGAGTTGCCGTGGTGTTGGATCACTGTGCTGTTGGCAATGTACTTGTAGGCGGGTTGCGAAGGAGCGTCTGGGTTTGACGAGTCTGCGGTGGGCGTGGTTTTGCTGATGAGGGTCTTGAGAATGTATTGCTGAAGAGGCATGTGAGTTAGCCATTGTGTATCGAGGGTTGCATTGTTTGAGGATGGACCTACAATAATCTCGCTGTTCCAGTCTCCTACTTTGGTGTGGTCGTATGATGTTGCGGCTCCAACAGCTTGTTCACAGGCCTAGTTGCCATTGTTAGCCGGTGATGTCTGAGATGCCTAAGATGGCAAGTTTTGAGACAGTGCTTACTGTTTTGGCAATCTGCTGGAGGTCATCGGTGGGGAGCGGTGAATGAGACTGTGTCAGTCTGTTAGCATGCTGCTCCATGCTCTGTTCTTGTACCAGGGAATACTGACAGCCATGGTGGTGATGGTGATGTTGTTGGTAGAAATGCAAGTAGGGGATGCGCAGAAGGGCAGAATTGGCAGGGCCTGAGGCTATAGCAGAGTGGTGCGTGATGAGGCTGCGATAAGTGAGTGTTTACGTGTTTGGCAGAGCTAGCGTCGAGGTCAGTGCCCGTATGCCGACGTGGTTGCTTTCTTGCGGCCTGCCCTTGCAGCTGCCGCACCGCCCCAGCTGTGCCCCGATACCGACAGCGCTAGCCAATCAGCAACGCGCATTCTGTCGCTATCACATGGGCACATGCTGGCTCGCCATTGGCTGCAGTGCCGTGCTTTGCTTCGAGGCATGGGTCTGTTACTGGGTTCATCGCGACCCGCAACGAAAGACAAGCTCTGATGCTTTCTGACGCACGTTTCCACTCTGCTCGCCTCTCTCTTCTTCTCGACTGAAACTGCTCGAGCTGCGCAGACCTTTGCTTTGTGCAACACCCGCCCATTGACACCCAGACCGCGTACACGAAACCCTCGAGCAGCTCTCTGTTGCGATATACCAGTAGCGCACTACATCATCCACTTTCGTCATGTCTACCCAACCACTCCTCCAGACCGCGCCGGGTAAGCTCGCGTCCTCGCCAACGGGCTTTTGACCCATAGCGCTTCTCTAACCATCTTCCCCTAGGCAAGCGCATCGCGCTCCCCACCCGTGTCGAGCCCAAGGTCTTCTTCGCCAACGAGCGTACCTTCCTCTCATGGCTCAACTTCACCGTCATCCTCGGCGGCCTCGCAATCGGCCTCCTTAACTTTGGCGACAAGATTGGAAAAATATCCGCCGCCCTCTTCACCCTTGTTGCCATGATGGCCATGATTTACGCCCTCTTTACCTTCCACTGGCGCGCGAGGAGCATAAGGATGAGGGGCCAGGGCGGCTTCGATGACAGGCTGGGTCCCACCATCCTCACCATCGCTCTGTTCGCTGCTGTCATTGTCAACTTTGTCCTGAGGTTGACCATGGGAGGGGATGAGAACAGCAAGCACTAGAGTGCTGTAACTAAAGCATCGAAGATATACGCCATCTTGGGCGGAAGTCTGCGGGTGCACCGAGAATATCGTGCCAGAAAATGAATGGCTCGTCAGAGAATGAGGAAAAACATGATCGGTTCGTTGGGCCATGCACTGTTCTGTAAGATTTGTCGGAGACGAAGGGAGTTTGGACCAAAAAAAAAAGAGATGGGCGTTTCTTTTGGTTGTTCACATGGAGTCTGAGTTATTGTTGTGGATTTTTGTATTAATATGCATCAGTGCGAGTGTACTTTGTCATATCTCTAGGTGCATATGGCGGATCGTATTTTTATGTCTCAAATATTCGTTCATTCATTACTTCAAGTTGACCCGTCGCAAAATATGCATTTCTCTAGTACCCCAACGTGTCGCTCGTGTAAGCAAGTATGGTCTTGATCGGGACCGAATACTGAGCAACCAAGATGTTCGATAATACACAACCAAAATACGGTAATAAAGAACTACATGTAAAAGTTCTACCTAATGCATTCTGTTGTCCCCGTAACAACAAGCGCTTGATACGATAACATGTACCAAATCTACCAGATGAAGCGCTGCAAATTGCCAGGCTCGTTAGGCCACGTAAATGTCCAGTTCAGGAAGACGTACAATACGGCCAAGTTGATGGCAAGCAGCCAGATAGTTTCCAAAACCATGCGTACATCGAGTACCGATTTCCAAGTCGATGATGAGGGTGATGCCTCAGTGTTTGGGGTTGTGTGATGTGCAACATGCAACCGCCAGATGGCCCAGGGAATGATAAAGTATCGTGGCTCAACTAGCGGTGCTGTGACTACGGACAAGGTAGTTGCAGCTAGCCATATGACAACAAAGCTGACGCGACAAGATTGATCATCTGCCGAGATTGGGGGAGAACCAGCTTTGCCTTTGTCCTTTAACGTGCCTTCACTGCCTGCACGGATAGTTCTTCTCGGTGTCGCGAGAGCACTGATGATGGACCATGCGCAGATGAAGTAGATCGGCACTGCGCTATATCTCAATGCAGGGTATAGCCGGAGGATTTTGAACACATAAAATACGTAGTGTCGGTTGTCGGCCAAGGTATACGGATGAATGATAGTGTTGAAGTGGACTGCGAGTAAAGCCCAGGTAACAAACATGATGGATGCGGTGAGAGACGGGAGTCTATATGTAGAAGTGTCCAAGACCTTGTCACAAGTAGTCTGGACCTGCTTTGGCAGCACTGGGACGACGAGCCCAAGAAACGGTCCTATCAAAAGTGGGATAGAGAAGAACGCAAAGTATGGCCAGATGTACAGCATTTGCGGCATGTTTATCGTGGCTGTATGTGCGGATTTATCGCCTACTAATGTGAGCTTTATTTAAATCCGGCGTGTATTGAGAACTTACCTAAAACAACACTGCCGTTCCAAACAACGAAGCCTGCGAAGATGACTAGAATAATTGCATATGGTACAGCAACCTTGATTACAAGTAAAGGCTTGCTGAGAGCGGCGACTATAACGGATGCTAGAAAGATGATGACATCTATCAATTGTTAGCCGCTATCGTATAGCTCAAACGACTGCAAGTCTGCTAACCTTGAATCTCAGCATCTTGCACTAGAGGATCAACAATCCTTCCTGTAGCCCAACTATCTCGTAGAATCTCTGTAACGTCGTTGGACTTCGAGGCAGTTGAGGGCCCATCAGCCCTCAGAGCATTTACAACGGCAAGGCCTGCCGGAAAGACAGCAACCCAGAAAATATTTGTTTGTCGAAAGAGTAGGGCGATGGTTCCAGATGAAAGAACACCGACGGCAAGCAAAGGGCTCAAAGATGATGGTGGGCTGACCAGGTGTGTAGTGTATGCGAATAATACGACCAGAGTAGACATTACATCGGTGTAGTAAAGTCCAGAGAAGAAGAAGAGTGGAGGAAAGAGGGCAATGTTGACGGCAGAGTGAACATCGGTAAAGAGAGTCGAGTCCTTAGTGGAAGGTCTACCTGAATTGCTGCGAGCCCGTAGTATGCGTAGGATGAGGTAGCTCATCGGAAGAATAGCGCACAGAGCAACAGCATTTTGCATACGTAAGAGCCGTGTTTCGCAGCCTAACAGAGGTTTGAAGAGTTTTGATACTAGATACCTAAGCCAATGGTAAGTTCATCTGCCCATGATGGTTGCGCAAGTTGATCGTACAGGCCTGGTGGGGTGGTAATCTTTGGGTCCCATGAGTAGTCTCCCTCGCAATATTTCTGGGCCTGCGGAACATGAAAAAACTCATCCTGGCATCATTAGTAGTCTGTCGTCACACCGGAATGCGGACTCACGAGGTAAGGCTTTGGCACTCGACTTGACACATATTCGGTCCAATTGACAGTAAGACAAACGATGAATATGAGAGCACCCGGCAGGGACCACACTTCAAGTAAAGAAGCCATTGGTGGTCTCTCTGCTTAAGGTGCAAGAAAACGAAGGTCACAAAGGGAAGTGAGAGTATCGGTGAGATCAATTGGTATGGAGATGTTCCTGAGCGAGCTAGTCCCAAGACGGCGAGTTTCCGCGGCGCGTCTTCACTCAGCCTGGACAACAATTCAAAGTGCAAGGCAACGCGTCGCAACATGGCATTGCCTCTCCCGCCAGGGCTGACGCCCCCAGAGATTGCATTTCTATGTGAAATGGAGCTCGTCACCATCATACCCCGCCAAAGACTCGAGGGTCTTGAGCTTCTTGGGGTGCGTATGCCCCTCCAACACCCCACCACCAACTCTCTCCCACTACGTCCCGTATGGTGCCATGGTGTTGATTGATCCCTAGGGACCTATACGACCTTTGAATCCTCCCCATAGAGCCAATGTGCCTCTCTGGCTCGCCCTGTTGCTCAAACGTCAACGACGCGCAAATATCCTTCCTCCACCATGGCTGAATACCCACTCTCTTACCGCAATCCTCGAGCACGAAACAGACCATGCAGAGACCTTCTCCCCACCTCCACGACTACCTCCGCAACCCTCGAACAATACCCTCCCTATCTCCCCGCCCTTCTTGTCCAATTCGACAGCAGATGGAGCACCAGATGCTCTGCCTTACCACTGGCTCGAGCTAGGCGAGATGTTATTGGAGACAGCCTCAGATGACTTTGAAGACCCAGACAACGTACGAAAACTATTAAGGGGACTCAGGGAAGTACGCATGGCAAAACTAAGAAGCGGAGTGGACGTGCTAGATGCAGGAGGTGGCTTCAAAATGAATGGTGTTGGGGGTATGGAGGTTGGAGAGGGTAGATCATTCATTACTGGAGTGATTGATGGGTTAAGGTTTGTACACTATTGTGTCTCGATACTGCTATTTTGCTGACCTGGAGCAGGAAAATCGCAGCTTCACGGGAACAACAGCGCAAGGACCGAGATCGAGAAGAGCTGGAGAATGGATACTCGGGCGCGGCCGACTATGATGACGACGAAATGGATATGCAATGAAGGCCGAGTCAATAGATACTTGAGGAGCCAAATAGCAGACTAACGCCATGCTGAGCACCGGTTTACACAAACGCTCGTGGGCCTGTTGATGCGTTATCAAGGTCGAATATCTTCGGCGATTCCGTCCGATATCTGACATCAATCCTTCGACATCGGCGAGGCGACCGAATGTCAAACACCCAACAATGCATTCATACAGGATGCATAGTAAATAGCTCGACGAAGACGAGATGGTTCAGACAACAGAAAAAGTCACATGAGGGGGCGCTATGTCTTTGATCGAATGGCTGGATTCAGAGCACGAAGTCGCGGCCATTGATGATCTGCAGCAAAAAAAAACTGGGCGCACACACCAAAAAGAGCTACGCTGGATGCACATACGTACAACTATCGTATGACCAAGCAACTTGTTCCATGAGAAACATCGTAATCCCTTGAATGTATGTAACACAAGCCGGAGCGGAAAGCATGGAACGAGCATAGTCTTCATAGCAATAATAGATAAATAAAATGAGGCCAACGGCCCCGTTCAATTCATAGCCAACGGACCCCTCACAACCAAAGTGTTATTATCCAACATCCTACCAAGGGACCCGCGTCTGACACGCAGCACGTCAATGCCCCCCAGCAGCGGGCACCCACAAGCATGTTCGCTGACGAGACCCACAGCACGACGCGGGCACAACACTGACCGAGGACCACCGTCAAAACGGCTGAAAACGCCCACCCGATTACCCACATGGCATGTCCTCCCCAATTAAGGACCCTGATACTCAGACAAGACAGGTTCATAATATCCTGCGACTCATGCAAGTTAAATATCGCCGAACCGGGGACAGTTGGCGACAAAGGTGGGTCTTTTTCGTGTGTACGTGCGTGCTCAGCCTCTAAAGGTCAAAAGGCAGCGTCCCCCCTTACCCCCCCATCATTCGGACGGACCTCGCACCGGACAACGGGAGGGGAGGGGAGGGGGGACGCGGTTGACGCGAGCAAAGAGTAAAGAGCATCTAACATACGTATCCAACCCAGGACAGAAATTATCATAACCATGCTCGAATGGGTGATTTGATTGTGCGCAACGCACCCTCGTCCCCTGTTCAACCCTTCCGAGGTTGATAGCTCGGAATGCTCAGGACAAGGATACGGGTCAGTTTCGGGGGGTTTCCCCCCCCCGTGGATCAGCGTTTGTTCGGTTGTGCTTCCCTCGTGTTCGCGTCATTCTTCTGGGAGGGGAGGGAAGGGATGATGGGGGTTAGGGAAGGAAGGACGAGGTAGATATGTTGGAGACACACATGCATCCATGGTCTTACAAGCGCTAGTATAGTAAATTCGGAGGGGGGTGAGTTTTAGGTATTTGGAGCCGAGAGATGGAGTTTCTGTGCTCCGTGTTAATAGGTTGGATTCCCAAATTTGAGTGATGTATCCTTGTGGTTCTTGTGTGTCTAGATTTTTTTTAAAAAAATTCGTTTAGTTTTTTTTCGGCCTTGAAGACTTGTGTTGTGGATGCGTGGGAGATGCATGTTGGGTTGGTGCAGGGTTGTGAGTTTGCCAAGAGCGTGACACGAAGGTGCCGTGCATGTATGATGGAATGTTCGTATAAACATACCAAACGCCAAATAGTGCACTACTGTTACTTTTCTTTTTCTGAGGGAGACTATTGAAAGTCAATTCATTTACGAGATGCGAGGCGTTGACATCTCCCTTCCCTGGATTTCTCTTAAAAATAAACGCTTGGTAATATCGAATCTACGGCAATGATATCTCGCCTCGAACAGGAAGAGATATTAACAATCTATTTAACTTTATTAACTTTGGTCGTCTTCAGCCCTTTGGGGAGGGAGCTTTCGCCATTCACATAAGCTTACAACACCACTTTATCCTGTTTCAACCTATATCTTCATATGATATAGACAGTCAGACGGGCTTGCCGGCAGAGTGGACGAAGTTTGTTTTGCTTGTGTGTGTGTGTGTCTCGTGAACTCTCTTGTCAACGCCTACGCCTGATATGATGCGGAAGTGTGTTGCAAAATACTAATACGTCGATGGTCGCTTTGAGTTCGCATGTATGTATCCGGTGGTCAGCTAGATAAGTGATACGAAGGGCATCGATGACGGAATCGATCTCAGCTGGATGAACAGGTCAAGCATCGATTATGGTCCATCGCAGCATTGTCGAGTTTGCCATTCTATCCAAAGTGAAATAGGTAAGAAGAAAAATACCATGACATAGACTTTATCTCCACGAGTTTGGCGTTGCAGTGGCGGATGTGGCGGATGTGGCGGCGATAGTGCAAACATTGTTCTACGTACCTTCCCGCGCTGAGAACATGAGCAGCCATAATCTAACCCCTTTTCTTCTTAGTGAGACATAGAGAGAAAATGCGTGCGTGTATGTGTGCTTGTACTGCAGTCTCGAATTGTAACGGAAAGTGAGGAATGAAGGCACAGTCGCTCAAGTACAGGCCAAGCAATGGCATGGCAAACTTTACGCACACACACATATATATATGTGTGTGTGTGTGTCTGTATACACAGACATGTACATGCCCGGCGCGGCAAGGTTCTCGAACCATGTGTGCACAAGAATTAAAGTTCATATGTGGTATTGCCTATAGCTGCGTTGCAGGGCTAAGGCGGTTGAGTCGTAACGAGGCCAAAGTGCTCGGGGAGGGTTAGGGGATGCGAGGCGAGACGAGGCGAGGTGCGAGAGACCAGTGGGCGAAGAAATCCACGTGGATGTGGATGCGGATGCGGACAAGGAGGCCTGCTGATCCCAGAAAGTTTCCAGCCGACAATCAATGTACAGAGTGGGAACCAACGAGCGAAAACAATACCATGTGGGTGAATGGGACGCCATCGGCGATATTTCGGTGTGTTTGTGATTGATCCTGCCGCGCGCGTTGAGGAAAGAAGCAGGAGGTGGGGGGATGTGATGATAGACGTGGACGATGGAAAAATGACGGAAGTTTTGTACAAAATAGGTATACAAGGTGGGAGGATGAATTATGTTTGTATGATGGTAGTAGTAATAGTAGTCATGATACTGGTGGTTTGAGTGTCGTAGGTACATACCTGGTGTCGTGTCACCAAGCCACTCAAGAACCCGCCCACTCACTCTATCACTCACTTACTTACCTACTCGTTGGTGATATGCGATAGCAAACCAACATGATAGTCCATCCTTATCGATATATCGCACGGTCGGCTTCCAGCAAGGTAAATGGCCCATACTCAGCAAGCATATCCCTTGTCAGATCAAAGGCAGACTGACTCGCTACCATGTGCGAACCCTTGACCACTGTGCAAACAGCGGCAAGTCCATCAGCGATCCCGTCTGACGCGTGGCTAAGGCCATGGTCCATGGTCTGATGTCGATGATCAAGGTTTAAATAAGCATCCAACACGGTAACTTTGTTGGGGCCACCGGTAGCAAAAGTACGGTAACTTGCAACGGGCGAGAGCGCTCATTCTCTTCCCGTCTCACTCCCGCTGTTCCGCTCTCTCTGGTTGGGTGGTAGTCATGCCCGGCTATCCCAACTGCGAGTTGGGCGCATGGACGTGGAAAGGAAGATCATAGGGAAGAACTGAAAACTCACATGCTTGTATCGGAAGCAGCCTTGATTTTATTTTATATTCGGGAGGATCTTTAATTGGTCCACCATGTATGTGCATTTTATTACGCCTCTGTTGCCTCTTGTGGTATGCATGTGCCGGGTATGAGGAACGTGAGGCTACTATGTCGGCGTAGTCAAGTCATGTGAAGGATTCACAATGCGGGACGCTGAATCTTCTAGGACAAGTACATACGCATCTTTCCCGTTGCATATGGCAGGAGGGTAAGTGAGTCGTACGGGTTTGCGGAAGCCGGGATTATGAGTCGAGATAGGTAAGACAGCGGCATTGTCCTTCCTAAGCGATGAGGGTTGCAGATTCGGATATAGTGAGGGGAATATAGGTACCTAGTTTAAGATGCAAGCGACATAGTCGCTAGATAGCAAGCACAAATACATTATGATGCTATACTGGTTGCATATTGCCATTTGGGGTTTGAGAACGAGAAGCTGCCATCGCGAGGGCAGCTGTGTGTCTCGAGTCAAGGACAGAACACGCGACTAGGATACCCTAGAGAGAGAGCTATTTGCACGGCAGTTGAGTTAAACGTGAGTAGGACACATGCGTGGGATACAGACAAGAGTCGTGACTCAGTGCAGGAGCATAGTTGTCAAGGTTGTAGTATGTTGTGCGGAAGATCACTGCAGGGCTGTGGTGTGGAAGTCGGCGAGGTACCATGGTGGGTAGGTACAGTAGCTAATCCGGCAAGTAGTTACGGTTCCTTAACCAGTAATTGAGTTGTTACAGCTCTAATCTGACAAACAGGGAAGGTCCTGGTATGTCTAAGACAACTGCTGCAGTCTGTGTACGAGGTCAATTGTCATGAGTTTCTTGTCCCTGCATTCTCAATTCCAGACCCGCAGACGAGTAATACCGCAGAAATGATACAATATCCTTTACATACTGACTTTTTGTAATCGACTCGGATGATTGATACAGAAGACTTCAACTTTGGAATGCAGTGTGCTATGGTGGGGCCGGATGGACTCAAGATTGCTTTTGTACTGCGTTTCTGAAACTTGACGGATGGTGCAATCAAAGTTACATCGCGTTGGGCAGGACGCGACGAAGAATCGAGAGATCTGGACAAAACAAAGTCAATCGTTCAGGTGATGCTGTGGAGTCGAAAGTACCTTTGCAGTGGTTCTTGCATACTATCGGCCCGGCATTGCGACGTATTGCTTCTTTCCAAAAGCAGATTGCTGCGCAGGGCCAAGCTCCGAAAGAAAAAAGATATGCATGCACCTACGACCAGAAAAATCAATCCTTGACCGTTTACCCAGCAGATCGTAAGTTTGCTTTTGTCTGAACCAATTACCCATGATACCGTGCGGTAAAGTGTGCTATTTCTTTCTCCTCCCAAGCGGCTCAACTAAAGGAAATGCTTCAACACCAAAAGTGCAATCCCCACCGCAGATCAGGATCTAGCCTCCCCATCCCATGCTCTTGCACTTTCTCCATCTGCAATAACCTACCAGGGTGGCAATAGCAGCCATCGACGTTGTCCAGCTATCTTGCCATTTTGAGCAGGTTTAGTCCAGGAAAAGGAAGAATGTGAGACAGATCCCATACGCCTTGAGAATGATCTGATACCAGCTACATATGCCGCGTTCGAACATGTGGGTAGGCTCCGAAATTTGAGGTTGCTTCGTCGTCTACTCGAAAGGTGTTGGCAGCGATAATGATTTTCCGCGAATGGCAGAGAGGCGGAGGGCATCCTCATTGCCGGCTCAATTGGGAATGGTGAAACGTGGACCTGGTAAACGGATGTCATGGGAAGCAGGGAATCATCAGAGCCATGAGTACGTACAAACGACTCTGAATGGCTAATTTAAGAAACGACATGTAGACAGGACTTGCTGTTATTGTGATTGATATTGTTGTTGCGCTTGCTGAATTATGGGCAAAATCGTGCAAACTTCTTGTCGGTTGGAGGTGGGGCATCGGAGACCGGAAGTTACATATTGGCCGAGTCGAAAATACAGGACGTCATTTTACAAATGAC